ATCCAGGAATCTTCTTCATTTCAAAATGTCAGAAATGCGTGCAATTTGCATGTTTTCTAAAGGCGTTGTTGGGCTACTGTATAAGAGCCTTGAACTCAACGCTATTTCTGACATTTTTTATTAAAAAAGCTTCCTGGATGGGAAGCAAAACATCTTCAAATTTGGAAACAAAGTCCAGTGGATTTGGATTGATAAAAAGCAACTGAGGAGGCTTCACGGCATAGTGCATGATGGGAAAACACCCTCCTGTCACAGGTGAATGGACAGGTGATTGGATCCAAGTTTGTTAAATAAAAAAGTCCTCATCCTATCAGTCACGGAGTGCGTTGCCACCCTGTGAAAGAATCTTAGTTCAGTAGCTTGTATCAGGATCTCATTCTTTGAGTCATGATCCATATTCTATGGCCATAAATAAGGATAGGAACGTAGACCAGCTGGTAAATCAAAGGCTTTGCTATGTGGCTTCTCTCTCTCTCCACCTCAGACCGGTGTAGTGTCCACATTATAGCAGCAAACATGCTGATCCGTCCCTCTATCTCCCCGTAAACAGATCGGGCTTAAGCTAGGTAATGTTGGACTTGCTACTTAACCAATAGCTGCATTGTATTTGACTTAAACTGGATCCAAAAAATTTGTTATTTTAGTAGTTTTGAAAAAATCTTCAACAATATGGAACAATATGCACTTAGGCAAGAAGGTCCTGGGTTCAAATCCATGCATGTTCTGCCCATTACTCACTCTGATTTCCCTCCAACAATCCAAAAACATTAATGTCTTACTTATTGGTATTCAATGTAAAAATGTGCATGGTTCTTTATTAATGTTGCCTCTGTGTTGCATGCATAACTTTCCAACCTGTCCAGGCTGCACCCTGTCTCCTTACCAGACCCCCGTCCTACACATACAGACACATTTAATACAAATTTAATGCTGACATATTTAATTCTCTACTACACAATGTTTACTGATCCTCTGAGCGGGCCAAGGGTTTATTGTTATTATCAATAACTTTTGTTACATTAATATGTTTAATACAATAATGCTCTGGCTTAGTTATTAGCTTATAAAAATAAACTAGAGTCACCTTAGTTGAGCATCTTTTGCAACAGAGAGATGCCATAAATGTACTGAGTTGTAATATGAATGCATCCAGCAGCATTTGGCTGAGGTATTATGATTGAGGCTTTGACAGAGGGTAAAGATCATCACACAGTTGAGCAGTTTTACACAGATGGCTTGTAATCACAGTGGCGACATAAGACTTTCATCACACTGTATCCAGCTTTATTCGGGCACAGCTGGGCAAAGTAATAGGAGTAGCGAAAAAAGAACCGTTTTTAATTATTATTTGTTATAAACAGCTATGTATACTATCACAACCACTGGTATTGCATTTTTTATTGCAGCTGCATTCAGCTGTTAGAACACGTACTAAAAGCCAAAACCTTCAACAGAGTATAAGTTTTGGCCTTGTACTCTCCTCAGAGTGTTAGTAACAGTACTTGAGTCTAAAAAAATAGACTAGGCCTTGAGATACCAACCATGAACACCACAAACAAGATTAGTGACAACATACAGCACTGGCAGAGTCCAAACTGTTGGGAATAAGCTCTGCTATGCTCTGGAAATACAAAAACCACAAAAAATAAAAACAAGATGGGTCTAAAATGCTACCCACATACCCTATTCTCCTACAGACACATCCCGCACTTGCTTGAGGCAACAAGGTGAATAGCATTCTCTAGATTCAGAAAAATACATGTTTACGGGACTCAAACTCCAGGAAACCCCTTCAGCAAATGTATAAAAGTAACTTTCTGGTTTAGCTGGCCTACTCTTCCAAGGCCATCACTAAAGCCTCACAGCCACTCAGAAATCTGAATGTTTTACTAAAAGGTGTCAACTTAATATTTGCAGAATGTTTTGGCAATAATGTTTAATTTTCATCATTAAAAAATCACCTATTTAAGCAGTAAATTATTAGACTTAGATTTATTTGGTCATTTTGTATACACAAGTGTAAACAAAGCGAAATTTCATTTAAAACACCTCTAGACAATTTCATTTTGTAAAGTGCATTCTTGAAAATATTAATAAATACATTAAAAAAATAGTAATATAAACACATGACTGTATATTTACAGTTCTAACATTATTTATTATTATTTTTGATAAATAAAATAATAAATAAATAAATAATGATGCAGAATGTAAGAGACATCTGTGTTAGTAACCCTCAAGTGGATTAAACCGGTTCAGGCAGACAATGACTCTATGAAGGAGAAAATCAATACACATGATTTATTAATGAAGTAACAGATGTTAATCATGAATAAATGTGTACACTAGTTCAGCTTCAGGATATTCATAGTCTTCCTGCATGCTGCAGAGATTGACCCTAAAGCTGTAGTTGTGTATGAAATTTGAAACCCCCTTTATAACTGGTTAACTAATTATTATAAAGCCTTATTAATAAGCTAAAGCATGGAATAGGGTAGTAGTGGAAGCAGCATTAATTTGAGGGTTGATTTAAAATGTCTAAAGTTAACTATAAAGCTTTGATGTATAAAAATCTTCCTGTGCATGTATGTGAAAGGAAAGCTCTATCGTTGCACAGCATGGAGAAAAAAAACATTGTATAATGTTGCTTTTATGAAACGCTTTCTTTGTTAGTGTTACACAAAATGTAATGCAGATACGCTTTGAAAATATCCACTTTTTTCATCATTTGAAAGATTATTTCCCAGACAGCAGTGGCCATGAAACAGCCTCATTTCTTTTCTATTTTTCCATCAATAACAGTGGCCTTAACTGAGAACAATGAAGTTCGCTGAGTTTTATCTTTTTATGGTTAATTTCTAAACTCCAGGATGAGTCATCCATGCCCTCTTTTAGTAATTTTCTAGTCCATCCACTCCTGTTAAGGTTAAACACTCTTCCATGGTTTGTCCCTTTAATGACACTGTGATTTGTACGATCTCCTTTTTTTTTTTAACACATTCCAGACTGATATGTAATATTATTTTTCTTTTTTTCTCATTTTCTCTTCTTTTATTTTTTGGGCAATAATGCATTACCTTTTTTAATCTTTTATCCCACTTGATATCAAACATGTTCTATTTACGTGATTTCTTGATCTTTATAGCTCTATTGGTTGTCAGACCTGGAATTAGCCAATTCCTGGTCTGGATAACTGAACCAAACATGTGGTTCATCACATTATTTATTGAGTGATAATTACTTTTCATTTCTATCTATAAAACTTAACTGGTGTCTCTTCTGGTAAGGATTCATAAACTGCCATGGTCAAATTGTTCCCTCGATCTTTCAGAGAGGATGAGAGTTTTCATCTAAAAACTACTTTTTATTAACTAAGGTTATATCTTTGTCTGATTTTAAAATGGATTACTTGAAACATTTGAGAGTTTCAAAAGAAAAAAAACAGAAGAGAAATCTAGTGAAAATAAACATGGCTGCATATTTTCTGCTGTACTACATTTGGTTTATCTCCGATATTATTTCAAACTTCCCTTTTACTAAACTACCATATTTCAAAAAGCTTAATGTTTTGTTTTTACATTTGGGTTGTTAATCTTAACATGTTCCCCCCTTTTTTAAATTTTAATAAATTATTTAACATTTTGAAACTATTGGCCTAAGATGTACATAAGCAGCATTATGCGACAGCTTCTTTCCATTTAACCAAGAATGACAAATATTAGCATTTGGTATTATTGCAATGATGAATGATGGTAATATTCAAGGCAAACGTTGCCAGCTTTATTTGACCCCACAGTTCTCCAGTAAAGCAGTCTGAAATTAGCGTCATGCCTCAGTAAAAAGAGCGGCTAACAATTACAGCAAAGTCTTGGTACTGCAATGAATCCATTGATCACCATCAGAGAGGATTTTCTCTACATAATTATTAATTTTGTGACATTTAAATTAGAAATGATGTATGGTACTCTGTTCTCTGCACATAAGGTCTTTTGTCATCAGAGAGGTCTGATATAATATTAAAGGAGAAGTTCGGTTTTTTACACTTTAAGCCCATTTTCTGTAGTGTCCAGGATGAAATCGAATGATCGACACCAATAGTTTGACAATTGCTCCTGTCTCTGCTTTTTGGCTCATTTAGAATCACCCCCTGGCTGCTTTAGAATGGCTAGCATAGAGCATGTCCGATAATGTCCTTAAAACAACCTTAAACGTTCTTTTTTTTAAATATGCTACTCACCGGATCGTCAGCGCTGTTCAATGACGTTCCAAAAAAAGTTTCGTAAAGAAAAAACGTTCCTGTAGTGTTTTATTTAGCATTTTGTAAATCCCATTGAGTTCTGTAGGAATAGTCAATATTCCGCTGCCACCGGAAACGGAAATGGGGCCTGTTTACACAGTTGTAGTCTTTTCGCTTCACTCTGTGTACTCCGACGTCGAGGTGCTAACGTCTCTGTTAAACACTTTAAAAAACTCTGAAAATGGAATACGAAAGGTGGATTCTTGATTCTCGACGTCGGAGTACACAGAGTGAAGCGAAAAGACTACAACTGTGTAAACAGGCTCCATTTCCGTTTCCGGTGGCAGCGGAATATTGACTATTCCTACAGAACTCAATGGGATTTACACAATGCTAAATAAAACACTACAGGAACGTTTTTTCTTCACGAAACTTTTTTTGGAACGTCATTGAACAGCGCTGACGACCCGGTGAGTAGCATATTTTAAAAAAAGAACGTTTAAGGTTGTTTTAAGGACATTATCGGACATGCTCTATGCTAGCCATTCTAAAGCAGCCAGGGGTTGATTCTAAATGAGCCAAAAAGCAGAGACAGGAGCAATTGTCAAACTTTTGGTGTCGATCATTCGATTTCATCCTGGACACTACAGAAAATGGGCTAAAAGTGTAAAAAACCGAACTTCTCCTTTAATAGAAGGAAATGTGCTGGTATTTTTCTTTTTCATCTAAAAATGATCTTTATGCTATGCTTGTTTTTTTGTAGTTGTCTGTGATTTTTCCAAACTTGAGGAAAGAAAGTCCCAAAAGAAGAGTCAACAACTTTCCCTCCTTTCCTCTCCTTGTTCTTTCCATCTCTTTATCCCCTTCTGGAGGGTTGAAGCCATGCCAATCATTTCTGCAAACACAGGTAGACTGAATTAAATATTCCACCTACTACTTCACATTAGTTACTGTTTCAGATACTTGATAAAAAAATAAAAATAAAATAACAGGAGTGCTGGTAACAGTTGGATTTTTATAAACTATTGGCAGGGCTACATGAGACTCTGGCCATTCTCACATCTCAGCTCCACCCTGATGCCAACCACAAAGAGGACCTGGTCTTCCTCCGAGACGTCTTCAGTGAGAAAAGCATTGGTTACCTGATGAAGGTAGAGGAAATATGTCAGATAAAAAATCTAAGTTTTATCTACATTTCTGTGCCTATTGTTGACATGTTACATCATGTCTTCCATTGACAAGAAAAAACATTCTCCATTGCACAAATAATGCGATTTACAACAGATAAACAAAGTATAACCCTTTTTCCACAAAATATTGCTATCAGAATTGATAGCAAATATGTAATGAAACGTAGTTTAGGTTATTTGGTTTAGACGGTATAAGTAAAGTTGCATGTTTAGAGTTAAGAGGACAAATAACGCTAGGGAGCAGATCAGCTGCTATCAGAGCTCTTATAGCAGCAAATTTAACCTTAGAAATCACTGTGATTCCTTGGTCAGCAATGTCTGTCCACCAATTCATTTTTTTCTATCACTACATTGGATTTTAGCTCAGACTTTGCCACAGCATCAGGACATACAGTGACTCTCGAAAGTGCACAAACTGTTTTTTAAATCCAGGTTTCAACCCTTTAAATGGTTTTAGGACTTTTCTGACAGATATTGGGCAACACCATTAAAAAACCATGTTGTATAATTGTGCAAACCCTTCAAATAATATGTTTCCAAATTTCCTTTTGATTCAGTTTTAACAATCAAATCCTCTTGAGTTCATATCTACAATTAGATCTTAAATAGAATACTTTTTATGACTGCTTAAAAAAAATACCCCATTAACATCCGCTGGTCATATGTTCGGGGGTAAAATCAACATGTGCTCTCCATCTGTTGTTGTTGTAAATATACTCAAACACAAAATGAGCAAAAAATAAATCATAAACCAGAAAAAATAACTAATAATATGCCAGCAGGACATGGTTATCTTTTAGTGAAACTTTGTGTGCAACTAGAGTGAGCTAGTGGTGTCTAAATGTTAAAAATGTCATATCACGGAACTATATCACTTTAATGTAGTTTTACATACCAAAAAAGATATAATAACACTAAAATTGAATTTTACAATTTTCAACTAAATAATTATCCTCTCCGTTAGACTCTTTTTACTTACATCTGTTTAGTTTCTCTTATTTTCCTGCAGATCCATGAGCGACTAAAGCAGTATGAGAAATACAGCCCCACTCCTGTCCTACACAGCGCCTCCTGTCTGGCAGAGGATGTAGGTGCAGGGAAATTCCCCTCCCAATACCTCCAAATACTCTTTAAATATCACAGTTTTTTTTCTGTATAACACTGAGAAATCCATGTGGTATTTTAATGAAAAATATGAAAGCAGTAAGTGTGATTTTGCCTGTTAGTTGGCAGAAGAACTTCAGAGCGGACCACTGCAGGAAGATGAGCAAGAACTTCTCCTTTTGCTCAACACGCCCCACCTGAAGGTAGATGCACAAACATTCAGCCATAGACAGGCTTAAAAAGGCTGACCATTATTATGTTCATTTAGTTTTTATTACATTTTGAACTATTTTAGGATGCACCCCGTATTTCCCTTCCTTTGAGCTTCTCTACATCTTCTTAGTTTTTCTGAGTCAGAGTTGGTCATCCTAAGCTCAGACAATATTTCTGAGTTAAGCATGAATAAGTGATTATATCTTAGTAGTTTTCTTGGAAATTTTGGTCGGGAAGGGTATTTATATTAAAAAATAAAATAGGCATTATCTCTCATGGTTTTTGTGTTTTTCCCCAACAAATATTTCTCCAATATTTGGTTGCTTTATTTCTGCTCACTATTAGCCTCTGGAAGTTTATTGATCTACTTTTACGCATCTTTTTTAACCCTTTGGTTCATGCAGGCAGTGCTTTCAGCTCACGACATTGTTGCCCAAAAGAAATTTGACCCAGTTCTTCCACCGTTGCCTGAAGACTTGGAGGATGATTTTGAGGAAGAGTCTGTAAAGATCGTCCGTCTGGTCAAGAACAAAGAGCCTCTGGTAAGGATAATTGCAAAGATGATTTTTTAATATTTATATTAAACAGTTAGAAACTTTGCTCCAGTTTGCTCTTGGGATATATGACAGTTCCTCTACTGGTTAATTTATTTTGAGGTTATTAGGACCTTTATGTTTATCAAGCAATCAAACATGTCCATGATTTTAAAAATCTAATTTTTTACAGCCAGCTGTAGGTGAAACAGGCACCAGCTGTGGCGACAAGGCCAAGGTTATTGTAAGAGGAAATAATAACATTGTACCGACCTGTTGCTATGAAGAGAATGTTTGGGGGAACCAATGTGACGTTGAGAACAATTTAGCATGTTGGTGGTAGCATCATGCTGAGGTCCCATCCCAGTGATATTGAAATGTGGCAGATTTTTGATGGTAAAACGAAGAGAAGCACGTCTTTCAAATTCTTTTATATAACCAGTGGATTGGTGTGGGACAAACTAGTGGTTCAGCAGAACAGTAAACCCAAAAACATACATCTGGTTTTGGAACAGGAAAGTTTTTTTTAACAATAATCTCCTAGAATTGTCCGGAGCTTGAAAATATATTTACTTGCTAAAAAGTGAATATTCAAATTTTACCAATCTAACTCAAAAGAGTGCTCAAATATGCAGTTTGATTTAACGATGAAGCTAATTAAAGACTTAAATTAAAGTGCAGCTTGTTAAGGGACAGTTAAAAAAAATATTCATGATGGATGGATATATTTAAGCCTCTACATCTAAATGATTGCTTTTAAGTAGAGAAAAATCCACAATAAACCCTCTGCTAAAATCAAAGCATCTGTTTAATACTGCATGAATCCATTGATTGCCTTCCTGTTTTTAATATTGTGTCGGGATTATTTGATTATACCAGTGCCATTTGGTGTTTTGAAATAAAATGTATTATTGTTATTATCATTAATATTAGCATTATTATTTATTATTACAATAAATTCAAACTGATGCTCAGAGTTTGTTTCTCAAGCTAAAGTTATTGGACATAATTTCATCTTGCAAAAACGTATCAATATAATCTGTATGAGAAATAATCGTCACCTAATTGAATAATCAATTAATCCTTAACCGGTGCATAGAGACTGTAAAATATGCCTTTAGCTGACCCAATTAGTGCAGCTAATATACTAAAACTGTAAAAAAAAAAAAATCTATAAACATTTTGCATTTAATATTAAAAAAAGGTTTTTGTGTATCAATATGCTCTATCCAGAACTCTTCAAGTGGAAAAGTTTTAGTTTCACCTGGTTTAATGTGTGTTTAATGTGTAAAATCTTCTTTAGGTACCTTTTGCTATTCAATTGTTAATCGATTAATTAAAAAAATGAATAAATGACAGACTAATTGATTTGCAAAATAATTAGTTGGAGCCCCAATTTTTATATAATTTCTTTATCCTTTAATAGGGAGCAACCATTCGGAGAGATGAAGCCACAGGAGCCGTAATCGTGGCCAGAATAATGCTGGGAGGGGCGGCTGACCGCAGCGGTAAGGACTTTTTATCGGAAAAGCTTTCAGTTATTTTAGGGGAAAAAAAGAACATTCAGTGGCACAGCGGCATGAAGGGGCCATATGTAAATAATCCTACAGCTACTATATAGCATACAACAGTAATCTCTTTCTCTTATTATGCTGGACAATGATGTCATCAGAGCTGTAACATGGAGAGAGCAGTGGAGAGATTAAACAGTGTGGCCTATTGACCTGTCAACAGGCATCAAATCCTTGAGATTATGGCCACAAAATTGCATATTTCCAGATTACAAATGACTGGCTGTTGCCATGGAGATGTTGTTGATCTGTTGCCAGTAGAAAATAACTCTGCTTCCACAGAACAGCTGCCTGTGGTTTGAATTGTTTATGTTTTTTTTATTTTTATTTATTAGGTCTGGTGAATGTAGGAGATGAGCTGCGAGAGGTGAACGGAAATCTGATTACCCACAAAAGGCCTGATGAGATTAGTCAGATCCTGGTAAAGAAAAACTACTTTTCTACAAGTACACTTGTTTTTTACTGCTGATGCTGATGTTTATGCTTGACTGCATTTCTCTGCTGATGTCTGATCAGTCTCAGTCCCAAGGGCCGATCACACTGAAAATCATCCCGGCTTTGGCAGAAGAAGACAGACTGAAGGAGAGCAGAGTAATATTTACATTTATTAGTATCAAGATCAATCCATCCATACATACTTGATAAAATATCATAGATTATTTAATGTCAACAAAGGTCTATCTTCGGGCTATGTTTGACTACACGCCATTTGAGGACAAAGCAACACCGTGTCAAGAGGCTGGACTTCCTTTTAAGAGAGGAGACATTCTTCAGGTCGTTAGCCAGGAGGATGCCACCTGGTGGCAAGCCAAGAAAGTTGGTGACTGCAACCTTCGCGCTGCCCTCATCCCCTCTACACAGTTTCAGGAGAGGTAAGCTCTCCTCTTTACTATTTATATTTATGTATGTGGGAATAATTAACATTTTTTGGTTTTGTTTTTCTTCCAGGCGTCTGAGATACAGAATGAAGATGAATTCCCTCCCTGCTCCTCTGTCCCCCAAGGCTGCAGCATGTAAGAGTTGTTTACCTCAGTAATCTCAGAAAAGCTCATCACGTATGAGCCTTAACTTCAAATGCACATGACGCTTGCATCAAATGGAGAGTCCCTGTAATATATGTCAAATCCAATCTAGCAAGGGCATAAAGAAAAAGAGATTATTTAAAAAAGATTGGTTTCATCTTAGGCTGCACGGTGGAAAAGTTTTTAGCACTGTTGCCTTGCAGGTTTGATTCCTGGTATTTCTGCATTGGAATTTGCATGGTGTCCCTGTGCATACGTAGTTTCTCTCCAGGTACTCCGGCTTCCTCCCAAAGTCCAAAAACATGACTGTTGTTAATTGGCTTCTCTAAATTGTCCTTAGGTGTGAGTGTGTGTGGCATGGTTGTACGTCTATGTCTCTATGTGGCGACCTGTCCCAAGTGGACCCCGCCTCTTGAGGGAATAAGCAGGAGAAGATGGGTGGTTTAATCTCTAAAACGAGAATAGATATTGTTTAAAGAGAAAAAATTATCCCCAACCTGTTGTAGCATAAAAGTTGTGGCAGACAATATTTTTCAGTTAAATGTAGGAATTTTCTACATCTGCCGACCAACTGACACAGTGTGGACAATCCTGTAAAAGTATGGAATTAGCTGTTACTATTATCTAGTTAAGCATGTATGGAAAAATAATATTAGAGCTTTTATTTTCCCAAGGTCCAACATTTGGTCCCTTGTGTCCATTTATGTTTTCATCCATTGCCTGCCTGCCTTCCTTCCTTCCTTCCTTCCTTCCTTCCTTCCTTCCTTCCTTCCTTCCTTCCTTCCTTCCTTCCTTCCTTCCTTCCTTCCTTCCTTCCTTCCTTCCTTCCTTCCTTCCTACCTACCTATGTCCTGATTTTGGCAGGTTTAATCTTAAAACCTAGTGAATAAAGGCAGACTTAATTTAGAAATTAACATAAAGGACCTAAACATTACAAACATTTAGCTTTGGGAACTATGAAATTTTTATAGTAGAAATGTGTCAGAGGCTTGGTTGTACACTTGGCATTAAATCATACAACAGTACATTTAACTTTTTCTTTTTGGTGTTTTCCAGGTGTTATATCATAATCATAATAAACAATCTAAATATTTTATTGTAAATGTTGATGAATTGCATAACTTTGAGTTTAGAATGTTTTTTTTCCCCCAACACAGATTATAATAGATACAGTCAGAGATATATACATTTACTCCCACCACCAAAGCCAGTTTTTACCTAGTTTTTAAGTTTTTTTTTTTAATATATATATATATTTTGCAAATGCAGGATTCTGGGGAAAAAAAACAACAACATTGATTTGCATTTTAATTTTAATATCACAAGCACCAAATTAATGGCATTTAACACCATGGGTGTATTTCAGTTTTTCACTACAACCTGGCTGAAAAAACCTGACCTCACTGATAAGACTAAGGATAAATAATGCTTGACTAACTTGGATTTGATGTGTTTTAGATGTTTGGTCATTTGAAACAAAGGTTGTTATTTGTTCAATAGAAGGCCTAGAGCTGTGGTTATTACAGTTTCTACACTGATACTTTGTGTTACTCTCACATTGCCATCTTCAGATGACCGGGCAGAGAAAGGTACGTATATAAACTCTCATATTAGACACCATGCACCATAGTGACAACTGCCCTGAGATGTTAAACACAAACACATCACTAAAACCAAGCAGAAAATGCAGCATCCCAAAGCTTTTCTAATAACAGCTTTTCAGTGGATCTCCTAAAAAAAATGTAGCCTTTGTATTCTTTAATATTTTTTATCTGTTTATATAATTCCTATTTTTCTTATTTGTTGTTTTTGTGTTTGATGCCTCGGGGTCCACATCACCACATTTTCATTAAGCACTGTTAGGAAATTCTCTGACCCACCTGAAATTCTGCAACAGATTCATTCAGTTCTTCCTTTATACAGGATCATGCACTTGTTTTAAAACATTTTGTTTTTACTTATACCTCACCTTCCCTTGGAAATGCACTGTGTCTGCTGCTTGCTCGTCTCAGAGTCCCCTCTGCAGCAACCCCTCCCTCTTCTTACCCTGTTCTCTCTCCCTGTTTGTTGTCCAACAGAAGACTGTGACAGTAAGGGTGCTCTGAATGGAAAGGACGTAGGTGAGGAAGCATCTCATCTAAAACATCATATTTTTTTAATCTGTGTGCCGATTCATGCTTGCTTTTATAGGCTAAAGGCTATTGTTATGTTAATGTGGGTGTTTTGTGCTTTTTTTTTGCTGGTTTTTATTCATTATTTGAGGTTTTGGGTTTCTTTAAACGCAGTTTAATTAAAGAAATTAGCTCATTTCTTTTGTAACTTATGAGCCCCAGACGGAATCCATCAAAAAGCTTCTGATTATTTTTGAAACCTTGTATTGTATTGTATGTAGACACTTTTATAATTATTTCTATACGGACCAGTGATAACAATTACAAATAGAATATGCTTAGTTATTTTGACAGTTTTCCCTTGTTGGGCTTTTATTTACTCAGAAGATAAAAGGATCATATCAGTAGTTTAAAAAGATTAACAGGATTTAAATATACATCATTGAGACTTAATTATATATATATATAAATAAAATGACTTAACATTAATTGTTATCATCATATCTATTATTCAGTCAGATTTTAAATAAGATCCATTATGTCACCAATATGCTTTGCTCTTTAGACTTGTTTGATGAGTTACACTTTGGTCTCTAGTTTAAAATAGATCTGTTATAAAAGCTCTTCAAAGGAGGCTGCATTACACTCTAAATACTAAGAAACGTATGTTGAAATAAGTACATTAGCTGCATAGAAAATGATATGATCACCATACGTCCAGAATTCTGCAGCAGGACACTAATATTAATAGTAATTTTTTTCAAACTCCGCTTTTTCAAAGTGGCGTAATTCTGTTTTCTAGTGATTTCCTCTTTCTATAACAGTTTAATCTTCAGCGAGACAGACACTAAACACTTTGTTTACAGTTTAAAAACATGATGTACAACACTAGTGAACCATCGGAGCCTTTTCTTTATTTAGTCATTCAACCATTGTAGTCCAAGCTGCTCACAGACAGAAGCGATGCTGCTTGTACACAGGCTCGACTGGGCCCTCTGACCACCATCAGTCAGCAATTCAGGTGAAATATCTTGCCCAAGGACAAAACAACTGAGAAGTACAGAAGGAGCTGGGGTTCTGCATCCTATACTACTGTCATCCCTATTGGGTTTAATTATTGTGCCATTTCAGCTGCTGTAGCTTTAAAAATGAGCAAAACTTGCTGGCAAAGATAATCTGAAGAGAGCATTAGGAATAAAATTTTGTCACAAAATATTTCTTTCCTGTTAGTTTGCTGAAACATAGAAATTGTGAGTAATAGGCGTATACCCTTCAACAATTTAAGGATTATTCTACTTCTTCATTCCCAATGTGTCTGATCTAATGTAATTGTGACTTTGTATATATATATATATATATATATATATATATATATGCTATATATATGTATGCTATTTAAACCATAGTTTATTTTTTTAAAGACTTGAATAATTATATGACAAATAATGCATTTCCACTATGTATATAAACTGAAACAACTATTTTAATTACATTAAAAGCACCAAAAAATGTCTCCTGATGATCTGCTATTTTAATTTGCAGTCAATAGTTAATTTTAGATGGAACTAAACTACCTGATGGTTGATTGCTTCATCAGTTTTTGTATATCATTATAGGAAGGACATTTTCGCAAACGTACTTTATTAAATGTTTTTTACTACATGTTAGTCTTTGGTTATTCAGTTTTTTTTTTTTATATATAATGCATCTGTTTAACCCTTTATAGGGCATTAAGTGAAATACTATCTAAATTTCAAGCAAAAAGAGTACAGTGCAAAAAACTGAAATCTAAGTAAGTCAGTTTTTCTTAAAACAAGTGTATTTTTTCTTGAACTGAGCAGGTAAGTGACATGGAATATGCAAATGAAATAAGAAAATTAACATTTAAAATAAGGGGAAAAAATCCAGTCTCCTATTTCAAGTGCATAATATCAAATAATCTGATTTTAAGACAAAAATGTTCCTTCAACTGGAAGATTTTCTTATTTACCTAATCAAATTAAGGGTAAATACACTTATTTTAAGACATTTTCACAAATTTATAGATCATTTTTGTAGTGTGTTATTGGAATCCAGGACAAGGCCTTATTACCTTTGTAACATTCAAAAAATATGGATATATAAAAAAAAATAACAAAAGTGCTTCTATAGGAAACTCATGAAAAACACACAGTGTAAAAGAAATGGTACTCCGTTTGTAAGGGGTATGCAAGTGATCAAAAATGCTAACTTGCCCTATAAAGGGTTAAGAGGATTTTATGTTATGTTTAATTATTGTACATATAAGTTAATTTACAAAGTTTTATACAGGGCTTTAGCTATAATTGACAAAGTTGAGAAAGTTTCTCATGGCTCTTTTTTCTGTGTTTACCAAAATATATATATATATATATATATATATATATATATATATATATATATATATATATATATATATATATATATATATATATATATATATATATATATATATATATATATATATATATATATATATATATATATATAATGCATTATTGCAGCAAACAGGTTATTAGTTTTATCAACCATTTAAGATGCATTTTATTATTTTTTCTTTTTTTTTCTCCAGACATTATTGTCTAATAGGAGGCACTTTAATTACCTTTTTTGTCTTTATTTTCTTTTAAATTATTTAGCTAACTTATTTTTATGAACATCAAATCTATTAAGAGCAACTGGCTTTTTGTGTCATACACTGCAGTCTCCAAGCTTCTCACATTGTCACTTAGAGCCATCAGCCAACAGCTGCTCCTCATGCTTACTGCTGGCTGAGTTTTCTGTGTTTAATAGTCAAACGCAGCATGCATTGCTTTAAAGCTTTTACTGTTAGTGTTTGAAAATGTTGAAATAATTGGACTAATATAAGCTGTAGTTTCTCCCAAAAATAAAGCAGCTCCTGCCTTCTGTGGCCATGCTTTCTCATGGGAATTTTACTCAGGTACTAACTTACTTCCTACATTGTTTGCAGTGTTTGTCTTGTGATGCAGTAGGAGTTATAATGAGGCAGAGAAGGTTTGATTTGAGGTGGCTGTTTTTGCACTGTATTTAGCATTTATTTGTTACTTAAAAATGACTATAAAGTTGACTAAAAATTTAGAGTTTAAAGCTGTAAAAGTCAGGAACCAACTCTAAATTTAAAATTCAAGTTTGGAATGTTGACTCCCAGCATTCGCAGAGATCAATATAGCTGCTTCTAATTTATATGTAAAACATTGTGAAAGCCACAGAAGTCAAGTCTATTTGCACTTTGTGTGGTTTGTATCCCATTAAATGAGTCAGTACCTATGTTCAGTAGACAGGTGACTACATCCCTGTAACATTTCAATTCAATTTACATAGATATTATTGATATGCAATGAATATTGGCTCAAGAAACTTGAAACACAAATGAATAACGGTTCCATTGAGTCCAGTGATTCAGACTGGTTTCAAATAAGAAAACGAAAAGGCCATTGTTCAAAAACATTCAGCCCACCTTACTCAATACTTTGTGGACCCACGTTCTGCTGAAATTACTGCTGCAAGTCCTTTAGGCTATGTCTCTATGAGCTATTCACATGAAGTAACATAAACTTTTGGCCATTTTTTTTTTTTTTTGTTGATGTTGCAAAACACCTCAAACTCAGTCAAATTAGATAGAGAGCATTGCCACAGATTCTCTCTTAGGTTTGGAGTTTGAACTCTGACTGGGCCGTTTTAACAGATGAACACGTTTCATTTTAAAGCGTTCCACTGTAGCCCCAGATTTATGTTTAGGATTGTTCTCCTACTAGAAGGTGAACCTCTGCCCAACTCTCAAGTCTGTTGGAGACTCCAACAAGATTTCTTCCTTTCTGCTTTGTACTTTGCTCCATCCACCTTCGCTGTCCCAGCTGAAGAGAAGCACTCCCAGAGCATAATGCTGCCACCCCCATATTTGACAGTGGGTATGGTGTGTTCAGAGGGATCCGCAGTCTTAGTTCATGGCCAAACAGAGCTCATAGATGTAATCTGATCAAAGCTCATCTTTCCACACGTTTCCTTTGTCCCCAACATAACGTCTTATTCTATTAACAATACCTTTCTTTCATAAAGACCATTTCCGTTCATTGCACAACTAAAAGTTGGATGGATTTCCCATCTGAGCTGCGGATCTCTGTAGTTAATCTAGATTCACCACAAAGCTCTTGGCTGCATCTCTGATCAGTGCTCTCCGTGTCCAGCCTGTAAGTTTAGGAGGATGACCTTGTCTTAGTAGCTTTACAGTTGTGCCATAAGCCTCCTTTTCCCGGATGATGGATTGAACAACGCTCCATGAGACGTTCCAAGCTTGGGAAATCTTTTTATAGTCTAAGCCTGCTTTAAACTTCTCCGCTTCTTTATATTCAGATTAGATTAGACACAGGTGTGCCCCATTTAGTCATTAGCAATTGGCAGGCAACTTCCAAGGACAATCTGTTTGTATTCAGAGAAAAGGGGACTGAATACTTCTGCGAACCACACTTTTCAGTTTTTTGTTTGTAAAAAGAAATGTTTTAAAACATGTATAATTTTCTATGTAAATCACAGTTGTATACCACTTTGTGGTGATCTTTTACATAAGATTCCAGTGAAATATGTTTATGTTTGTCCTTGTTTTGTGACAATGTGGAAAAGTGCAGGGGGTATGATTACTTTTGCAAGACACTGTATATGCCATGGACGGTTATTTATAGTAAGAGAGGTTCTTTGCAAATTCCTTTAAAACTTAAATAATTTTGTTTTCTTTTTTTTTTTTTTTTCGTGGGTGTGGGATCTGTTTTAGGCAGGACTTATTTTAAACTGAAGACAAATCTATTATGAAATTCACATCTTTAAAATGGTTTACACTGTTAACAGCTCAGTATCAAATTGTATTAATTTAGAGAATTTTGATGTTTTTCCTCCTCTCATTTATTTACAAGTTTAATGACAGAATATGTTAAAAATGACTTATTAAACAGAGCAACTTTGCTGTACTTAAAGAGGCATTATGGAGTTTTGTAATGATACTGCCATATGTGACCAAAACAGAACTGCAGCATTCCTCTGATCGTTCTTGTACCTCACCCTCGTACTTGACAAGTTTTTTTTTCTACTTACATGGATTTGCTATGGGTGTCTAAATTTAACTGGATGTCGGTGGCTCCTGAGTATCAACAAAATCCATCTTGAATATAACGCTTGGATGCTTTGGTGCTGAATTACAGAGGTGCCAGTCTGCTCATTAAACAATGTTTTAGTTATAAAGTTATCAAAAAAAAAAATAATACTCATTAGTAAAAACGTACATAATGTCTCTTTAATTCGGTCTTCCTGTTACCCTGTGAAAGTTCCGCTTTCTCTTGTTTTTTTGTTGCCTGCATGAACCACAGAAATATATTTAGTAGATATTATAGAAAATATACGCTTTTCCTAAAGATTTTCTTGCATCTTTCCTCTAGCTATATTTAAAACCCCTTACTGATGCTTAGAATAGCTAAATCAATCCTGTGTAAATTCTCAGTCATTCAGGTCATGGCAGCCACAAACAGGCTTCAATAAAAAACTTTCACTTAGTTTCTTAAAAACCTTTCAACATATATACTGCAGTCTTCTTTAGTTTTGTCGGCTTGCACTACAGCAACTTGTAGTTGCAGCGCTGATGGTTTTAAGCACCTGGGGGCCCATCAGTTTGTGCAGGAGGATGGTGAGGATAGCTGTTGAAATTTAAAGTCTTCAGCTTCCACACTAAGCAGAGCTGTGTTATTAATTTATCCTCCTGCTATTTAGGATGGTGCATTTACTGATCATGGAAAAAAGAATTTAAAACAAACAAGTCAGTCAATCAGAGTCAGTCACAAAATTAGGTCTGACCAAGCTGGAAACGGCTCCTTTCCAGTCTTCTGCTGGTTTTGTATATCTCTGGGGACCATCAACTTGTGCTGCTGAAAGGAATCATCTTGGTCACCAAGAACCACAACTGGTTGATTATAGTTTCCTACCGTCTGATTAGAATGCCAAAAAAAAGCCTTTATTTTGACATCAATCTCATATCGTCTGTTTTCCTTTAATGGAAGTTTAATTTCGCTCCAATCACATTTGTGGAATTTTTTAACTCTTATAAAATGAAGCCCAGGCGTGAATTTTTTTCAATCCAGTTTTATTTAAACTCTATTGTATTTTAAAGGTAAACATAAACATATATATATATATATTATTTTTTTTTTCTCTAAGTTAAAATCATCAGTCAAATGTTTAAGGTTATTGATGCATTTCTATAATGCATTAGTTATTTTCTTGGTTGGGAGGTGGTTTAGATTTAGCCCAGTATGCCACTGCCCAAGAATGCAGCGACACGCTCACCTCTGAAGAATCCATTTAATTTTGACATATTAACATCAAGTTAACATCTTTGTTCAGTAGGTCTATATTTTAGAAAATTGGCACCTGTTTTTTTTTTTTTTTTTTTAGCAGCATGATTGATTGACAGTATAAACCGAACTATAAGAATCTATCTTTAACTGTTCATAACAATATTTAACATAAGTTTGCAGTGATTTGACCAGAGTTTGTGGTATCTGTCTGTCTCTCTCTGTATGTCTGGACCTCAGCCAGTTTACGCAGGAGCCTCAGACACAAAAAGGATCGCCAGGGTTCCCCAGCAGAGGGCCACACTCCAGAAACCCAGCCGACTGAATTCCGCATTTATGAGGAAGTTACCCAGTATTTACCACAGCCTGGAGAGAAGCCCCGCCTTACAGTGCTGATAGGTAGGTCCAATAATGTGCAGCTGTCACCAAGTAAAAAAAGATGCCTATCAGAGGAATTTTATTGAGTAGCTGCAGACTTAATTATTGGGTGTAGATGTTGGGGTTGCATTTTTGTTAAACATGCTTGAATAATTTTTTTGAACACAGGTTCGTTAGGAGCTCGGGTCACTGAGCTAAAACAGAAGGTGATTGCTGAGAATCCCAGATGGTTTGGTTTGGCTGTTCCACGTAAGTCTTCCATGTTCAATAAGTGATACTGTTCGTTCCCAATGGCATTTTCTCTACAGAAAATGGATCCCCTAGTTGACATATCTAATAAATGTATCTTCAATCCTTCTGGCTGTTCGAAACTTGAACCTGAAGACACGACCCGAGGTAGAAAGCCCCATGAGAGGGAAGGAGTGGAGTACCACTTCATCAGCAGAGCAGCCTTTGAAGCAGACATTCAAAGTGGGAAGTGAGTATAAGCAAACAGTATTCTTTTGATTTGATGCAAAAATCATTAATATAAAGCATTTTGCAGTTTATGAAAACAAAAACTTGACTTTTTTTACATTGTTTCTTTGTGATCTGTCTTTTTCTTTAGGTTTATTGAATATGGGGAGTATAAAGATAATCTTTATGGCACCAGCTTAGAGTCCATTCATAAAGTTCTGAGACAAAACAAGGTTTGCCTAGTAGATGTCCAACCAGAGGTAAGTATGCTGATTGTCTACAGCCAGCCAAGAACTTTGCGTCTAGGTGAAATATTCAGACATATTATGCTTTTATATCCAGACGTTCTGGGTCAAAATTTGGACCTGTCTGCTGTTTATCTTAGACTTAGATTTAGACAAACTTTTTTTTGAAATTTTGATGCTTACAACAGTGAAATTAACACTACAATTTACCTTCTACAAGTTCTCCAACAATCAATGCTGTCTTTAAAGAACACTCGTTTTTGTACCTCAATTAAATTTGATACAGATTTTATTTTGCATGTGCCAGAATAAAGGGAAAAGGTAAATATCTGCACTGTTTCAAATCTTATGCTTCATTTTTAGGAGAAAATTTAGATACACATAAAAGAAGCTGAATATATTTAATAATCTATTTATAATGGAAATAAACACGTGTTTACTAAAAAGGTGACTTTTGAGGGAATTTCGTTACACTTGATTTTTAAGTAGGGGAATCACAGCGAAGGGGAACAAATTTACAACACATTTATCATTTTTACTTTTTTGGAGAACCATGTTTTTTACATTGCATGGTTTGGCCCTAGTCCATTTCCATCTGTTACATAAAATGTATATAAGATACATTAAAGTTCTACAAGGCAGTGTTGGAGGTATCAGTCGCATTTCAATCATGCATGTTTAAAGATGCCAGTAACAAACTAGTGGTGCAAGAAAAAGGTGAAATCTATTGAGGAGGCCAAGAGATTTGACTAGATTACAAAAAAACACAATTGAATTGTTATGAGAAAATTTATAAATTCTACATATACATTTAGACTGATAATCATTCTTATCTTAATTCTGCTGATACTCATGTGAATAACATTGTAACAGGTGAAGAAATCGTTTGATATATATGATAGCTTAATGTTACAATGTTTTAGTTAATACTAAAATTTATATTTTTTATACTTCCTATTTATGAATTCAACAAAAAACTAACCTTATATTATGTTAATATTGTTTAAAAGGCTTTTGCACATGTCCCTCATTAAAAGCAAAGAATGCAATTTCATTCCTTTGTGGTCAATTGAAAAAAAAGGGATTCTGACCAAAAACAAAAATGGATTTCAGTCATCTCCCTAAGTAAAGTTATAATTGCTATGGAAAGATCTCCATCTGCATCAGCAGTGTGTTGAAAGGTCAGATTAGTATCATTTAGCTACAGCTGGGAACACATAAGACATAGGACATGGCAGATATGACTTTGTGCATATGTCTGAAAATTACATTTGTTCTATTAATTTTTAAAATAACGTTACATTTTTGTTAGACACCCGTGACTTTAAACTCTTGCATCAAAATTTTTGTCCTGATTTTACATCTCAGTTTAAAGTTCTTGCTATACAACTTCTGATCATCATTTGATAATCAGTCATTACTTCCTGATTTATAGATGTGTGTTATGTTGCTTTTCTTAACAGGCCCTGAAGACGCTGCGAACAGCGGAGTTTAAACCATTTATCATTTTTGTGAAGCCTCGCATCCCAGACTGTCACAGAAAACACTTTGGCTCATCTTCCTCACTCAGCGCTGGAATCACAGTAAGTCACATGGCAATAATACCCACAGAGAGTCAGAAGGACTTTTGTTATTCATAAAGGATTGATGTAGAATAGCATGGTAAAAAAAAATCTTTTTGTAAAAAATTCCAGTTGTAAAGGAATGGAAGCAATTGGCTCTTCCCTCTTTGTTGTCCTTAGGAGGAGGATCTTCAGGAAATGAAACTGTCTGCAGAGAAGATGGATGAGAGCTACGGCCATTGGGTTGACTATGTAATGTTGAAGGAGGACCCAGTGAGTGCCTTAGCAGAGCTCCAGATGGTGCTGGAGAGGGTGCTGACGGAGCCCCAGTGGGTTCCTGTCTGCTGGGTGAGACGTTAGCCAAATGAACTTCATGACCAAACGGAAACCACTGTGCAAAGAGCCTCAACTATCATGTTACTGTTCCACACGCAAATGTTTCGGTGATGGTCAAAAATGTCATGGAGGAAAACTAAGTACACTCTAAAATAACTGTAGCTTCATTTTTATTTTGGCTCAATCTTTTCTATCAATGACTCAATTCATTGAGATTAGCAGGCTTTTACTCCTGTTACACTCTGACAAGGTTAGACTAGTGTTTTGACCAGGTTGACCGCCGTACTTGGAGTAGGTCATTGTTGCATCTTGGTTTTTTTTTCCCCCTCTTTCAGCCACTCTACTTAAACATTATTTTCCTGTTGTTGGGGAATGTTGGCCTAATGGTTAGAGCAGGTTGGTTCTGAGAAGGTTGCAAAAAACCGATTTGATGCCCACAGCCTGCACTCTGGGTTCCTGAGCAAGACCCTTAACCTGAAACTGATCCTGGGGAGCCACACCATGGCAGCCCACTGCTCTTCAAGGGGATGTGTTAAAATGCAGAGTGAATTTCCCCATTGTGGGACATTAAAAAGGGTTAGATTTATTTATTTTATATTTTTTTGTCAGAGGGTCTTGCAGACAGAGGGGTTTAAGAGTTGGCTCAATGACAGAAAGGTGCCCATGTTATATGGCGTTCAGAGATGGGAAGTAACGAAGTACAAATACTTCGTTACTGTACTCAAGTAGATTTTTCTGATATTTTTATTTTTATGGCGACTTTTTACTTCTACTCCTTACATTTTAAAAAATTGGCTCGTTACTTTAGTTTTGAATCATTTCAATGGAGTTGCCGTTATTATTTTTCACGTCATCAATATCAAATTCAATCTAACTGGATGGGAATCTGCGTTGCATTTGATGCACCACTACAAGATGAATAGACAGATTCGGCGGTATTCATTAGCTGCAAATCATTGCAGCTTGGTGGCGGTGGCGTTAGCATAGTAGCATGGACGACGAGATGATTGAAAATGAACACAATGGAGATCTAGTCCTATTGGCAGACATCCATTTAAAATGTAGGCAACGGCATGAAAAAAGTGGTTTCTACTTTTACTTTTATACTTTAAGTAAATTTACAAGCCTGTACTTTGTTACTTTTACTTGAATAAAGAAGTTTAATCAGTACTTCCACTTTTACCAGAGTATCTGTACTTTTACTCAAGTACAGAAAGTGAGTACTTTTGCCATCTCTGGTGGCTTTAAATCAAGCCTCTGCTAGCTTGTTTTTTTTTTTTTTGCCATACATCCACACTCTGTTCTAGAGAATGACACAATCCCTATCTGGCTCCTAAACTCTACAACTATGCATGAACCCTCTCTGCACTTCCCAGCGGAGGGTCCGCCATATTAAGGGCAGTCCTAAACCACATATTGGATAAGGCTAGTGAACTGTTCAGCCCTTAAATAGCAGGTCTGCATCAGTGCAGGCTCCCAGGATTTGGCATAGCGTGTATCAGCAAACTAATGGAGGAAGAAACATCTGCATTTAAATATAAGTCCTGCTGCTTTGCTGCATCTTTGTCACAGAAAATGTTTGTGATAAAGATGTCAGACAGAAAATCACAAGTTAGGAGGAAGGACAAAAAGACATAAATTCCAAAAGGGAAGGTCCTCTTTTTAATAGTGTTATTAGACTGTATACATTTATTTCAAAAAGTTAAAAACAATCCACTTGACTTTGTTTTAAAGTTTGAAGACGTTTTGCTTCCTATCCAGAAAGCTCTTTCAATTTAAGTCAGAATTGACGTTGGGCTTGAAGCTTTATAAAGTGGCTTAAAACAAAGCCTTGTTTTGGCTGTGAAAACATGCAAATTGAACCTGAAGAACAGGTCCGCCCCTTAGGAACGGGAAGTTGTTTGGGTTCTTTGTTTACCTGAAATACCTGATACTGGTCTATGCCTCTGAAAGAGGGGTCGATGGGGCGAGATGTTTTGGTACCCTGCACTGGGGTGGGGGTTGAGATGATAGCGGGAAGGAATCAACTCTATCACTGCATTGTAGATTTTTGAGAGCTGAAACCTGAAACTGTATACATTTATTTCTAAGAAAGGGGAAAATGTTTGATTTCAAGACAACCTGCCCCACAGAGCTACAGCATAGCATTGCTATAGCAACATCTGCTTTCCTTTTATAGGGAGAGAAGAGAGCATCCCATTCTTATTTATACCCTCAACTTTCAATCAAGGCACCCCCCAAGGCTGCAAGTGTGACTTCATTGGGAGCAACACTTAATAGTTTAGGGGTAGTGCTTAGGGGGCAGTTTGGGATTGTTAAGTATTTCTGTAATACCCAATCATGAACCTGAAACATGTATCAAAATATGTAGTTTGATATTTAGTCTTTCTGGAATGGTGATTGCAGACTGGCTTTATTGAAACATCCAAAAAAGAGCAAAATACCTTAAATGTTCCAGATGTTTTAAACTGTAATTATATATACCTTAAAATGGCCTTATAATCCTCCGCATGAAGCAGAAATCATTCTGCTTTAATTGCTGATGTGTTTCCTCATTAGCTTTGTGTTAAACCACACACTTACTGTATGTGACACATTAACACTACCATCTTCAAAATCCCCTCTGCAGCAAGAGTGTACTTATTTTCCTGATGACAATCATTATTGTTATAGAAAATATTTCCACTGGCTGTACTTTGTGTCATTATTGCATATAAAGTCTGCAGTGACTTTCTTTAGGACTGTTTAAGTGAAGCACTGTGTGCATTAGTCACACAGAGAGGAGTGCTGATGTACATATTGTATATCTCTAAGGTACAGTGGTAGTCTAACAACTATCTCAGCCATGCAGGACCAAGTTGAAAAAGATCTGTTGTGATCGGTTAGTTTTAGCAGCAGCTATACTGTGAAGTGCCATAATAAATGTGTTGAATTTGCACGGGAAATTATTGTAAACTGTGTGACGACAGAATAAATCTGCCCTGTTGGACAACCGTTAGTCGACATGTTTTCTAAAATAATTAGACATCATGAGGGAAACCATTTAATTATGGACTCATACAAACAAAGAAAGGAAAATATACATATGTATTTGCAATGTGTGCTGGAATCCCACACTTCCGTTTTTTCTTTTACTTCCACAGCTTCTTGATAGACATGTTCTTCTCGCTGTCTTTCTGCATCACCTGGTTAACAGAAACATGTTTTAGATAACAGATTCAAGCTTGTGATCTGTGTTTGGTTACAGTATTTTTTTAGGATAAGTTGTTCTGACCTTTGCCACGGCCATCTCAAAGTCCTCTTGGGTAACATGGACTCTCCGCTCCCTCAGAGCATACATCCCTGCCTCTGTGCAGACTCCCTGAAATATGAAAAGAAGTTTAAGCTACATTCATCCTTATCTGGCCGCTACCTGCCTTAAATCAGAGAGGTAAATTCTCACCTTAACCTCAGCACCAGAGGCTCCCGGCATCAGCTCTGCAATCTTCCTCAAGTTAATGCCACGAGTGAGGTTCATCTTCCTGGAGTGGATCTTCAGGATGTCCAGACGGGCCTGTTGCAAGCAGAGGTGTGCACATATTAAAGCAGATAACAAAATAAATTGACCTTAAAAGGAAGAGAAGATGCATTAAAACCAACCTCTTCATTAGGAGGAGGGAACTCAATCTTTCTGTCAATCCTTCCTGGCCTGAGCAGAGCCGAGTCCAAGATGTCAATACGGTTAGTGGCCATGATGACCTGCGTATTTATACCAGAGATATTCGTTATGCTAATAAACTGGAATCAAGGTTAGTTGATTCTTATTTAAAACATTTCCAACAACAAGAATCAAAGAATTCCAAAAAATAAATAAATAATGGGAGAAACCTTGATGTTTTTAGTCGCCTCAAAGCCATCCAGCTGATTGAGCAGCTCCAACATTGTCCTCTGAACCTCACTGTCTCCGCCAGAGCCGCCCTCCAGACGAGACGACCCGATGGAGTCGATCTCGTCCATGAAAATGATGGAGGGAGCGTGCTCTCTCGCCATGACAAACAACTCGCGCACCATACGAGCCCCTGAGACAGAGCAGGGAAATATAGAATTAAAAGAAGCTTCTTGTGGATTTTGTTGCATGAATGGCAAGAGATGAGAACTCACCCTCTCCAATAAATTTCTGGACCAGCTCAGAGCCAGAGACCCTGATAAAGGTGCAGTCCGTGTGGTGAGCTACAGCTCTGGCTAGTAGGGTCTTTCCTGTACCTGGTGGTCCGTACAGCAGAACACCCTGAAAAAAGAAGCAAAGCAAATACATAACAACTGATTACAAAAAAGTTCAAAAACAAGCCACTGGACTTTGTTTGCCAAGTTAGAAGACGTTTCTCTTCCCATCCAGTAAGCTTTTTAAAATTAAAACGTCACAATTAGTGTTGAGTTCCAAGCTTTATAGAGTAGCCCAGACAAAGCCTTGTTTTGGCTTAGAAACTATGACCTGGATGAGTGGGAATCTTCACCAGAATACATAACTCATTCTGCAGCTAATCAGTCAAAACATTTTACTATTTAAGAGTATAAACTTCAGTAAATAATCTTTATTAAATTCTTAAGAATTCTTCTGGCTGAATATTTTAATTGTTTACACAGGTGGGGAATGTTTCATCAATAATTACTGGGTTTACCATCTATAAAGTCACTTATGTCTCCAAGAAAGTGAGATTGCAATATTTATTAAGCAATTCATACAGATAAGATTCCCATATTTATATTTCAAAGACTGTTGTAGTACAAAATGATTCCAAAACAGCTCGTCTCTTTCCAGACTCGATGAGAAATACAAGACCGAGTATCACCCACCTTTGGTTGTGCGATTCCCAAAGCCTCAAACAGTTCTGGATGCTTCACAGGCAGCTCGATCACTTCTTTGATCTCCTTGATCTGTTTATCCAGGCCACCAATCATTTCATAGGTGGAATCTGGCACCTTCTCCACCATCATCAGGGAAACCAGAGGGTCCACTTTGTTGGGCAGGATCTTGTGGAGGGTGTAGCTGTCGTTACGCAAAGCCACACGGCAGTTTGGAGTCACCTGGTGGGGAAGTAACAGCAGTATAAAAATTGCTTGGTTTTTTGTTGAAGCTTAATAGCAAAGATACTCACATCATTGATGTCAATGTTCTTGTCCACATCCACAACAAATTTCCCTTCAGGATGTACCTAAGTTGAAAGAGAAAGTAGTCAATCCAGGCTATCAATCATTCAAGCATTAAGATGTAGTTTAGTCCCAAAGCAAAGCAAACCTTGACCAGCACTTTCTTTTTGTCCATAACCCGGACTACTTCTCCCACATAGGACCCCTGCTCCTGCAACAGCTGCAGCTCCTCACGAAGTAGACGCACTTGAAGACAAAAACAAATTCTAACAAAGCCCTCAGAGCCATTTCAATTTAAGTATTTAGTGTTTGAATCTACCTTTGGCATTGAGCTCATTCCTTTGAGCCTGCAGGCGTCTAAGATTCTGGCTCTTATCATTCACAGTCAGCTGTGGAGGGGGTGGGTAAAAAATAAATAAATGAAGCACAGCTCCTACAAAAGTAGGAGTTAACGTCTGAGTTCTGTTTGTTTTGCACTTCTTTCTCACCTGTAGCTCCTCTATCTTCGATAAATAGTACTGCCGGAGACCTGACCCACCTTTACTCTCCCCTGTCTCCATCTGTCAAAGGAAAAATTACCTTAAGGATGTTTTATTTTAAAACAACAGAAAATTCCATCAATATTTTAACAGCAATTTAAGTTGATGTTTGTTCCCGATCTTTTCTATAAAAAAAGGTAAATACTATTGTCAGCAGGATTCCTGCAATATTCCTTTTAAATAAATTTTTACACTTTTTCTTTCATTTTTTAAAGCAATTTACTATAAAATAACAATGAAAAGGGTTATATTTTACAAGATTTGCAAACAAACAAAAAGGGGAGTTTACTCAAAGAAATAACGGGATGACCAAAACGTGGAACAAAATGTTTTTCCAAGATTAACCATATACTGCAGAAGTATTGACATAGTACAGTTTAGACGTCATTCTGACCCAAATTTGTTGTAAGACTCCAGGTGGTCATTTTATGACAGACATCAGGTCCAAAAGTTTAATCTAAAATAGAATTTTGATCAATGTGCTAACATTTTTTTTAATCTATAACTGCATGTTGGATAAACGCATAAAATGTAATAAGAACATACAACTTATAGATGTTTTACACTTATTTTAAACATTGTGGATCACATTGAGAGTGCAAAGCAAAGCCAGTTTTTAAAGGATAGAATTAGTGATTTTTTTATGGTTTTGACTGATATTACCACCTAAACAAAATGTTTAGGTGGTATATATATATATATATATATATATATGTAAATACACACAAATACTTTCCCTAAAACAACTTTTAAAAATTAAAAGTAGAAAATAAATTAAAAGGAGAAATAGTAACACAAATTTGCAATACAAAATGTCCTGCTCCCTGAAAATAATTTTTATAAAAAAATATGAACTTGTTTGCAGCTTCTCTGAATTTATATTAATACCGATAGATAACTGGGCCTAAGAAGCATATTTAAGATTGGTACAGGTGTAGAACACCTAAAGTAAACATAGCACCACTGTTTAACTGAATTTTGCACAGAAATACAGAATTTAGTGGCTCCTGGTAAATTATTTGTTATCTTTAAGGGAGATGATCGTGTTAGCATTAGCTAGCAAGCGCTAGATTGGTAAGCCATAAACTTTAGTCTTAGAATATACAGACACTCTAAATCTTAAAAGAGTAAAAAACGTTTATTATTCTGAAGACTTGGGTTTTCAACAAAGTGAGTAAGAAAAGTGAACGTTAAAAAGAGTATATTTGACAGTAAGCATCTGGCTCTTTAGCAGCGTCGGCTACAATGAGACAGCAAAGCTGCACAACACATTCATTGCTTATCAATAAAAATACCCTTTGATGTTCTGAATAAATGTTCAATAAAGCTGCGAAAACATAGACGATTCGGAGTAATTATTCACCGAAAAGACCCTAAATCCAAATCTCCTGTTATTGTTGAAGTAAAAATTAACAAAACGGCAAGAGAAAATACACCTACTTGATCGACTCCGTCTACCTCCATGATGGAATTTTTTACATCCGCTTCAGAGCAGTTGCATTTCCGGTGAACTCTTCTTCTTGTGTTATGTTATCGAGGCTACACGCCACCTAGCGGGGCACTGCTGCCATTCGCTGGAGGACACGGCGGGTGTACTGTACTACATTGCTCATATCACAATATCAAGTTAACTTTTGTAGCAAATATAAGGGCTTTATACTCACGCTGGTGAATTGTTTGACCAAGTGTCAACTCCTATGATGTTAACTTCTATTTAAGAACCTGTATCGCCCCTTGAAACATTTTTTCTTTATTTAACCCAACAGTTCCCAAACATTTTATACAGAATTTACCTATTTTAGTAAGTAGTACTCTTTATGAAAACAATAAAGGCTCCTACGGGTCTCTTGTTACTGGGTTATTGACAAATGCTGTTTAATTCTGATTAGTTTTTACTTTGAAATTTATATTTCCAACCAAATTTTTAAGTAGCCTTTTAAATTAGTCTCAAAACTTAGGATTTGTTGTTTTCAGTAATTTACCTGCAGAAAACAAGTAGTTGATAGTCACTGGCACTCCTTGATTTAACGGCTTGCTTAAGTTTTCTACACAAAAACAACTTAAAACAAAAGATTCACATGTTGTTTCAGCATCGCTAAAGATGAGTAGTAGTTTTTGCAAAGTTTATTACATGAAAACATTTTGTAATGGGATTTGGCTTTGTTTTCCAGAGTTTTCTGTCGCTTAATTCAGCCCTGTCAGTGGGAAACAATTCCTGTCATCTTAACAGTCAAACAACAAAAAAAAAACCTGACTATTCCCATCACATGGCTGGTGACAATGAAATTAGCATATGATCATAGTTTATGGTCATTTGGGTTGTTTTAGAAGCCTGGAGCTCAAAGTTAAAAATACTTATACTCCTCAGACCTAGATGAGTAAAGCTCTAGATTCTAGTATTCTTTGAAGTATTCCAATTTATAAAATAATTGTGTAAAAAAAAAACCAAGATCATTGTTTTTCTTGGTAGTAAACAATTCTCGATTGTTACACGTATTCATGAATTTCTTATCAGTATTATTAGTTTTCCATTTTTGCAAAACAGCTTTCTTTGGGGAATGGGCTTGCATAAGTAGGGGCTCATCCAGGCTGCCAGTGATGCAAACCGACTGCTGTAAACTGGTGTCATTTTACAAGCCAAAGACTCAGCACAATAAGGAGGGTAGTATTTATCTTGGCTTTTAGTTGAGGAGTGTTTGTGTTTGAGTAAAACCAGATATACCTGTTGAAACCGCTACTCTGCAGAAGAACCTGAGCCCTGCGACCAGCCCAAACATGCAACAGTACGACTACAGCACGGTTGGCTGAGCAGAGGCTATCCTACTTTATTCTGCCAACGATGCAGTGGAAAGCATTTTACATGACTGCTGCACTCTTTAAGAACTTTGAAAGAATACAGCTTTTGGAAAGTTTTTTAAGTACATTTATTGGAAAATATTCAAATGTATAAAAGGTCAAGGCACTTAAACAATAGGCAAACATTTTACAAAGAAACTACAAAAATACTTGTACACATTTTTTTTCATAAAACACATTTTGGCACAATAAGGTGGAATGGTTCAAAACTTTAAGAAAAACCATAAAAAAAGCATCTTGGGTTAAATGTTCACATGTTCTTTTTGTTGATCAGACATGTTTTGATTCTCCACTATTAATTACCAATAAAGCTCTACAAAGTCTTCCAAAAATCCTCTTTTTGGTTTTAAAGCAACAACAAAAAAGAAAAAAGCCATGTGAACCTTTAAAAGATAATAGAGAAATGCAAGCAAGTTATATGCTTTTTCAAGTGAACAATCCTGTCCTCTCACATATCAAACATAAACAACAAATAGAAAATATATCTTTGCATAAAAGGTTTCCTATTCTGCTTTATTTTCATGAATAAAACATTCTGAAAAAATGTTTTCAGGTACATCTTTTACATTAAAATGGAATGGCAATTTTTTTAATGCCTTAAAGCATTTGTTAACAATTTGTACACTTTTTGATATCTAAAGATTACCGCTTTTTAAAAATATTACAAAAAACTCTTTTAAGGCACACATTTAAAGGGTAAGAAAAAACAGAACACCAGCACATATTGTTTTCTTTTGTACCATAAAATAAAATACAAAAAGTAAGGCACCATTTTTTGAAGGGTGACAATGACAGACAATGCAAAGCATGTACATTGTCCCTCATTCTGTTAAACGAAGAAGGCCTTGATGAATATTTCAACCTGCAATAATGGCAAACTATTTCCAGTTCCAAATAAGCAGATAATAAAATTGGATGAGCTGACTTAAGCCAACTTGTGGCTCTCACAACTCTAAAATGCGTTTAGGTTAGTCGGATGCCCAACACCTGCTCCAACTCTTGTCTCCTCTGCTGCACCTGAAACAAACAAGGATTAGTGTCTGCAGACAACAGCAGGTCATCTGTAAATTATTTTGATGCTTTATTTACATTTTTTTCTGGTCCATTCAACTTATTCATACAACAATTCATAGCAACTGATCAGAAAAGAAAGTTCAGACTCTTCAGTACAAGCTCAAGTGTAAGAAGACAAGAGTGAGTAGGTCTGTGAACATTTTTAGTACAGAAAATGGAATTTAAAATACCATTTGATATTTATTTAGGATACTACCTTTTATGAACTTTAAAATCGTATTGTACTCACTTTGGAATAAACATATCGACCCACTGCTTCTGGAACCCATGGTGCCTGATAAAACTCTGTCCTGCGCTCTTCCTCTGGGTTTCCCGTTACATCTGTCATCAACTGGGAAAGAGAGAAAAAAATAAAAAATAAGTGAGAAACTTTCCATATCCTAGATGAACATTTTTGTTATTTATATTTCAAAACTATACACGGGTAAAACCAGAAAATCTGATATGGATTATAAAGCCTTAACTTAAAGCAAAACAACCTAAAACGCAGACAGACTAAGCTTCTAAAGCTGAAAAATCATAGGTGTTGAGTGAAAGGTATTACCTTTGAACATGTCTAAAGTCTAAAACCATCAAGAGTATAATAGGTTTCCTAACTAAAATAAATAGCAATCTAAACAGCATAAATATGGGTTTCATTTAAACATTGCATATAATAGATATTGCCTCACCGCCTTTACTGCTTCATGAAAGCAGGTGGTTTGTCTGAGTCTTAGGCGTAGCCTTTTAAAGAGAGACTATGACAGATATAAATAATGTAATTTTAGGAGCAGTAGGAATAACTTGGACTTCTTTGTTTTTATCAAAAACTTTTTACTATGTGCAAATCAAACCATGAAATCAGATCCTCACTTGTTTCAGCTCATACTACTGGTCACTTCTGAATGGAACTGTGACCATGTGAATGATCTGATTATGGTTGAAAGACCAGATAATATATCCTTATTTAATCAATGTAAAAAATGTAAAAACGTTTTTTCCAAACTCCACCAACAACATATCTGCCGATTCAGTTTTTACCTGATAAAAACGTGTGAATCAAATGGTGCCTTAATAAATACTACCGCTGATATAATTAGCAAATCGTAATACACTAAATACGTATAACAATTACAACATTACCACCGAAGAGATCATGCAATGGTACCTTAGAGCTTCATTGTTGTCTAACGTCCAACCGAGACCTGTGTGGTAAAGTTATTAGAGAAGTCCATTAAATTATTTACTGACCTTCAGATCTCGGCACTGAGACTTGAGCCAGTCCTTGATGAACTCTTGAGGATTATTGCTGAAGCTCAGCATAAAGTCTCTCTCTGTTTTAAGCTGGTTAATGTACTCTATTGTTTCATGAATCTGCAACAAAAAGCACATTTTCAATAACTCTTTAACTCAAAAGAAAATAACAGTTTATGATCAGAATTAAAATAGCTGGGTTTTACTGTAAAGCTCCAACCTTCATTTCTAGAGCGGCAATTTCCTGTTGGTTGGTGGTGGAGGACAGAAAGCTGTTCATCTGGGCTTTCAGAGGGTCGTCTACTTCCACATCAATATCATAACAAGCCGTCTTCTTCTGGTCTGTGGGGTCCACACTGCTCAGAAAAGAAACAGAGGTGGAGGGTTGCTAATCTGGGTTTGCCTTCAATCATTTCATTAAGGAGTGTAGCGTTTTAAAAGGTTTGAAAGAAAGGTAATTTCAGTTTTTAACTGCCTCATTCAAGTTGACCCAAAAAGCAAAAACTGTATAATAAAAGTAAAATATTCCTTTACCTGATGATGTGATTGATGATGATGGGGTCGGGGTGATGCAGCAGGCCCGCCAGCTTCATTGGAATCTCAGAGAACTTCATGCGTTGACAGCCAAAGATCTAAGGGGCAGTTTGTTACAATAGTGAAATATGTTTTAAAAGATAAATATTTGTACAGCATGTTAAACAAAAAGACAACACAACTAATAATTGGTTAATTTAGCATAAATTAACCAGGTATAACATAATGATAATTTTACAAAGGCAACCATCTTTTGTTAATAGGCCAGAACTAAGCAATCTATTAATCTAACAATTCTATGCAAAGAGGGAAACATGGGGATGATGATTCCTAAAAACTGAGATTGAAGATTAATTGAAATTCTCTGAATTACAAGGAACCTGACGGTACAATTCTCCATATTCATCTCACTACAAAGAGAAACATCAGACACCAAATCAACAAACTGATGGCCTAACCTGAAAATAATACAAGTTTTAAAATGCCCTAATAATAGGCAATAAAAACCTGTGGTCTTACCTGTCTGAAGTAGCGATTGCAGTTGATGTACTCCTTCTCATGACCGTCCTGCAACTTGTTGTTCTTGATGTAGATCCAGAGAGCTTGCATGATGTTGGCCCGAGTCTGCGTGTGCACGCCAAGGAGACGAGCCAAACGAGGGTCCAGTTTATACTGCGGAGGCTGAAGCACAGAAGAAGGCAGAGAGGTTTGGCCAAAATGGTTAACAAAATTGCACAAGACAGGTTACAAAAAAAAGGAAACGAGTTAGTTGAAGTTACCTGATGGTCAAGCATGAGCAGAAGAGTGCATTTGACATTCACATCTCCAGGCCTTTTGACCTGGAAACCATCTGTCTCCTGAGTGGTGGGCATCCTGTGCCACTAGAATATAACACATAGATAGATTTTAGATGCCTTGATTCCTTTCTTCCCCCCAGCCTTTTATTGTCATTACACTGTAACAAGTACAGAGCAACAAAATGAACTCTCTGTATTTAACCCATCCCCTTGAGGAGCAGTGGGCTGCCATTGTGCGGCGGCCAAGGAGCCGCACAATGTGGGGTTAAAGGTCTTTGCTCAGGGAGCCAGTGTGGCAGTCTGTGGGAGTGGAGCTCGCACCCAGAACCTTTGCATTCCAAGCTCTATTCCCTAACCACTAGCTCGCCACTCCCCTTTTATCTAAACCTAGTCTTCGTTAGAATTGATTAGTCAACATTCAGACATAAATCAAACATAAACTGTTGTGAGAACTGCAAAAACTCAGTTTACAAATGCTCTTCTTCTACGCAGGTAAGTTCAAGAGATTTAAGGAAGGGAAACAATTTTAGGCTCCAGAGACACAAAGCTATAAACCTACCTTAAAAAGGCAAAGAAGTGAATTAAATGATGAAACATTATACAAAGCAATGACTTTTACATAGATAATAAAACTAAGGAGCCCAAATCTTTTTTCTCTTAAACCATAAAGTTTGTTGGTCCATCAAAACGATCTTAAAAAAAAGATGTCAACAAGGGCATGAATACAAATACAGTTAAAGAGACTGTATTTGTAATTACTAAGCAACAGAAAAGATTTTGTTTTCTGGTGTAAATATTGGAGATCTATTCCTCCAGATGCTTAAGCTCTACTTTAAAGAAGATACTTTATGGAGAGAAGAGACAAGACACATCTTTTGACTTTATACTGATTAAATATTTGAATTTAAAAAATCAAAAGACGTTTGGGGGATGAACCAGTTTTGAGCATTTAGGTTTTTAACAATTTCCCGAGTTTGTTTTGCTACTGAGTCATCACTTCCTACCTCTACTAGGTGATTGTCGGGTCCATAAAGCTCCTTATCGAGCTCAATCACGAGACTTTTGAAGAAAGAGGAGAACTTCTTCTTCTGCTTACCAGGCTGAAAACAGAGAGAGAGAGCACAAAGAGTGAAAAAACTGAGCAGAACATGCTTGGCCCTAGTGTTTCTTTACTCTGCAGTGTGAGTCTACAGTTGCATTGTTTAGCTGTGACCACATCGGGAGTGAGGAACCAAACTGTTGAGTAAAAAAAGCTGTTGCACACCCACCATCACACACACATACACCCCAGCCACCTCACTGCCCTGGTGTTTGCTCAACATGACCCCACTCACTCCTTCCCTGACATCCCTTTTTTCCTCAGTTGCTCTGTGCAGCTCTCCTACACATGCCTGAACCAATAAGCATGAGGGGAAAAAATTAACCGGAAAAAAAGAAAGAAAAAAAAAAATTGAGAATCCATCTTCTGTGGCCCCAGATGACACAATGAGCTGGGCCAGAATTGATGGAGGGAGGGGAGGCATGTCAGCTTTTGGTATGCAACGGCCAGTGGTTTCAATTCCGTGTTTCAACAGAGAGCTTGTGTGTGCGTGTGGAAGTATGTTAGCTGTTGTGGGGCTGGGAGAGAAGAAAGCTGTTAACGCACATCTGGCTGCACGGTCTGAGCCAAGGACCAACTGAAACTTACTGAAACACAACAACAGGGATCAAAATACTTGGAGTCAGAGAGCAAAGAGAAAAACGTCTAAACAGAACAAAAGTCCAATTTCCCAGCTGCGCTGTTCACTTACTTCCTCCAAGAGTTTGCCTTCCACTCTCAGCTCCCAGGAGGACACTTTCTCAGATTCCTCACCCTCAGGCTTGCTGGGAGTGTAAGTGTTAGAAATGTAGATCCGGAGTTTACGCTTTTGCTGTGTCAAGGAGAGAAACAAAAAGCTTTACAATGAGACCAACATAAAGGCTCTGACACAGCAGCTGTTTAATCAGCGCTTTTATAAAACCTGTCTCTAAAATAGAGAACCCTCTAGAGATGCAGGCATCACTGGAAAAATGGCTAAGAAGTGTTGCAGTATCTTAATCCTAAAGAAAAATCAAGGATTTAAATTTATAACATTTTTAGAGCAGGGTTTAATAAACGCAAAAATAAAAAAAAACTGTGAGATATTTGCTGGCACTGGTGGTATGTCCTCAGGGCAGCAATCAGTCATCTCCCATTACATTTCCCAAGGTTTAAGTGTGGAGAGAGAAGAATCTTTGACCACTTTATAAAATCTCTATCCTACGTTCTGCTTTTTCCCCTCTTCTCACCTCAGTCCACAGATTTCTGACAGGATTTAGGTTTGGCAACTAAGATGGCAATGATGACAAAAGGTTGATTTTGTGTATGGTTACACATTTTTGTGTTTGAACCATATTTTGGGAAACTTGCTCAAACAATACAATTAAAAAGATGACTAAAACCAGTTTTATGGTTGAAGGGCACCTGGTTTGTATCTATAATGTTTAAGTCCATAATACCATAATCTTTAAGAAAGATCTCTGAGCCTTTAGAGGCAAAACCAATCCACAGATTCTGCTCCATATGTTGAAATCTTTGTGTCGTACACTGGTTTTCACCAGGACTTGGTTGCTTGAGACATTTGTCCATCTTTCTTATTTTTTGGCTCCATGCGCTGGGTGGCAACATTAAATGATTAGTCAATAAACCAGAAATCTAATTGGGAACCATGCAGGCCAATGTTTTCACTCTAGATTTTATGATTTGGATTATGATACATTCCAAGCCTCCTTTGTGCTTTTATTGAGGTTTACTTCTACATGTTAATCTTTTAGCGTCATATAACTAACTTATTGTTTGGTGAAGTCTGATGGTGTCCTTTGAATTCTACATTTAAAAGGTTTGTGACTTTAATTCCTGTTCTTTATGGTAGACTGGATAGTTTTCATCATATTATCGAATACTAAACAAGGGTTTCTTTGAAAAAAATATTTCAAAGATCAGCACTGATGTTACTGGTGGAAAATTAGGTTGTTTGCTGCAGTTTATTCTCAAAATGGATCAAAGTGTAGTGGCTCCTTTATCCCTTTGTAACCTAAAAGGGATAGCTTAATTTCATTAAATGTTTTTCTGACCACATGAGGGTTTACAGCAACTGTTTCCATACACGAATTTGAATCAAATGAAGACCTGGTATGCAAATAATGAACAAAGTTTATATGTATGATTAGGGCTGAAACTAACAAAGAAATTCTCAACTGCTTTTTAAAGTAGAAAAAAAAAAACCCCCAAAAACCCCCGCTGAAAATGAAGACAACGCTTAATGAAAAGCAAATACCATGATGGGCTTTTTGATGGCCTCCTGAATCTCCATCCGTTTTCGAGCAATGGTCTGATCCAGCTTCCTCTCAAAGGCCAGAAGATCCATGTAAGCCTGAGACTCTGGGACCAGGTCTCGTATCTAAACATCAAGAGAAGGGCAAAATATTAATGAAATCTAGTAGCCTCTAATGGATTTTGTTTGATTTTTTTTTTTTTTTAAATGACCCTTGAGGGAAACTTTTACCCACCCTCTGTGGAAGAACCTTGTCAGCCATTTTGCGTCGTTTTGCTCTAAACCAAGCAGAACAGAATCCATGAGCTCATAGAAGCGCAGATAAAAACATTCAGGAACAGGAAGGCCATCATCTAAAACTTCCATCAAGCATTTCTATTTTTTGTCTCATAATTCTTAAGTTAACCAATTTCTAAGGAACGCCGTAAATTAATTGTAAGAGCCTATTTGATTATCAAATACTGGCGGACAACTTCACAGTGTGATCAGTCAACTTTATTAAATCTGCATGAAGTCTCTGCTGATTATTAGCTACTGAACAAACAAAAGCTGATCTGTTCCTCTAAAGGAATTATACGGTCCCCCCCATCTTATTCACAACGTGGCTTCCTCACTTTAATAAATTTTACTGTTACTAAATAAACCTCAATGCCTTGGAGATTGATTAAGGCTGATGCTGTAAATGTTGTTTCACGCCACAATGCAACACTTTCATGAGTTTGACGTCACAAAATGGTTCGAAATCCAAATAGACTCTTTGAAAGCCAAAGGGCAGTCATGAGATACTGGTCTCCTTGTTTCACTGACAGCTTTAACAGTACAGCCACTTTCAAAGATCTTCCTAAAGGATCATGACATTAAGGAAGCCCCAACAGTAAAAAGAACAAAAATACTTTGGTTTGATCTTTTGGCGTGAGCCAAGTTCTTTATTTAAACTCTGAATAGGCCAAATATGAGCTCCTTGGTTTTTGTCTGATGTTGGCCTTTTTTTCCTAAATAAGTCATAAGAAGCAAATTTTACTGAAGTTGTCAGATTTGACTCTTAGAACCATCTGCTTCAGAAACAAGGAATTGTGTCTGATCTTTTTGTCGGTGACTGAACCAAAACAAAGCCAGGCCAGCAGCACCCTTCAGTGAGGAAGTTATTACTAAAGGAAAGAACACTCAAGGCCACACATTTATCTGTGTTATTTAAGTGTCTTGAAATCAAGTCAGAGGAATCACATAATAGAGTTAGAGGTCAGAAGATGAATATGTTACATCAAAGTGACCATTTTTTTTGGTATCCCGTCACTGCAGATGCTGGATTAGTAAATGTAGGTTATTTTAAAACCTCACAGTTTAGGTTAGGTTGAATTTTGCAGCAAACAGACAAACAAATCGATATTTACAGCCATTAATGCTAATGTCTATAACTCTGCTGATGATCCAAAATGAAAATAAAAATAAAGATGTAATAATTTAATCTTGGTTTAAAAACGTGTTAAAGCTCAGGCCTGTGTAATGTCAACTACTCGTTCTCACCCAGTGTGACATCACCTCTGGTCAAAGAATACACAATGTAACACTAAATAATTTCACTTCTATGCTTTTAATTCTGCAAAAAAATACAAAGTTTCTCTGAGTGATAATCTTTTGGGGGGGGGGGGGGGGGGGGGGGGGAGTACTGATCTTTTAACTCTGAGGATTTTAGGACTGTTTTGGAGTAAATCTTTCCCTTTAATTCTGTAATCCTTTTAGTTATCAAGACAAAAAACTTAAACTAGGTTGAAAAAGTACTTTAGTATAATCTATACTTCTTAAGAGGAAAGAAATCAGAAAGGTCTAAAATCTGAATCGGCAGGATAAGACCTTTACAAAAATCAGCCAAGACAATTCTGATTGGTGTCTGTATTACAAATAATAAAAAAAAAACAATCACTTTCATTTATAATATCTTAGTCACACCTGATAATGCTAAAACAGTAGAACAGTTTACCCTCTTCTCATGCCTCCAAGCGTCTCCTGCTGCTGCTGCTGATGAAGGAAGCGCTTCCTGGAAGGATCCATGCTGGGATGGCTTATGCCTGGCCGCATAGGAATACTGCCACTACCGTATGAAGGACCTGGCATCTGACCCCCCATCGACCCTAGGAGACCCCCCATTCTGCTGGGCAGCATCCCGGACCGCTGGAGTCAAGAAAATGAAAATGACTAATCAATTTTTGTAATTTTCTTTTCTTTTATTAGCTCTAAAATCCAAAGGAGGAACTATTCCTCCTTGATCATTTTACAGATTTCTGTAGCAGACTTACAGAATAGTTAAATAAACAACAATTAGATAAAATGTAGAATAACAAAAATACCATGAGGTGTGTGGCCGTTATTAGCCCCCTTTGATGGAGTGTCAAGCTAAGGGCTAGTATGTCCCTTCAGATAAGGTTTATAATCAACGTCAAGACTTTTTTTGTGTGTGTTAAGCAGCAACTCCCCTCCTTAATTGGAAAAAGTTTGACTCTTTCCTTCTAATATAAAAGATGTGTTCACATTTTTGAGCTACACCCAAAATTCTGGATGAAAATTCTTCATTCTGGTGGTTTTTAGTCCAGTCACACCCACCAGGAACGACAGAACCTCCTTTTCCTAGGCAAGACGTTTTGGAGGGATGGCTCAGAGAGCACAGCGTAATTTATTTTTACTTTCATATCTTCAAACTTCTTAAGGAATCATTTGAACAAGGCTTTAATCAATGCAGTCTGTTCTACAAGTATATTTACTCAGGTTTTATCTGGTTTGGACCAGTAATAAAATGTTTCAATGTGGGATATTTTTTCTAGCATCAAATCGTCATCTCTGTAAATTTAAAAAGATCTTTTGATTACAGTCATTAAGATGTGCTGCAGTGGTAATAGGTTTCAAAATTTGTGTTACTCCTCCTATACTTTTGAACCCACCTCTAAAAGGGAAGCAGTGGAAAGTGTTGAGATGTATAGGTTTTCTTTCAAAGTAGATAATATTTGCAATCATAAACTAATGAGCAGTCTGCGCATAGGAATTAAAGGAGTCACCATTTCTATTAAAACTGAAATTGGAACGATATCAGTAACATGGCCGTCAAGTAATTAAATGCAGGTCGGCTAAGTTACCAGATGTCTATTTTCTATAAAAGGCAAAAAAGGCAAAAAGTTTGCCCAAAGGAAAACTATTACATTTAGTAAGCATTTCTCTATTTGTTATGTTTTGTAATAGAAAAAGAATAAATAAAGAAATACCTTGAGTTTTATTACGCCTAGGTAACAATAGTTATTTGCTTTTGTGTTTAAAAAAAATAAGCAAATGGTGTCACCTTGTGTTTGTTTAAACAAAAAAAAAAAGTTGTGAAACTGGAAACTTTAAGGTTGTAAATCATAATGGTGCAGCAGAAATGTTCTTGAGCAATTAGAAACAGGTCATATGCAGCGTTTTTAGGCATGACGATGCATGAGGAAATGACACTTTTTGGTGTTTCAACCTAGTTTTTTTCTGATCTCAAGTAAAATAACTGAAGCCCTGCATGTTTGAACGGCCAAAGAGACTTTAGTGTTTTTGCATATCTGTTTTGACAACAAGAACCTGCAGATGGTAGCAGAACTGGGATAATGTATGCAGGATTGCTTTGGGGCAGATGGTGGTGATGATAAGTGTGTTTTCCCTAACTGACAGGAGGCTGAGGGAAACAATCTGACTTTCTCTTTCATACTTGAAGGGAGCATATTTATTATACAATTTTTTTTAAATTTCTTAATCAAATGCAGATCATCATAAATCTATAAATAAAATTAATATTAATATGTAGAACATATAAGCAGATTATGTGACAGGAAATTACTGTAGTGCTTTGAAAGGCGGAAATGCAAGTTTAATAACCAGATTTTTTACTTTTAAGTTGTTTTCAATCAATTTTAGTAAGTTAGATCGGATCATAAAATAAAATAAAAAAATTAAAACTAAATAAAGAGAGAGGGTTAAAAAGGGAAAGTCAAACCTGGTGGTACTGGGGGTTGCTGCTCATGCTGCGGGAGTAACCCGCGGGAAGCTGCGGCATCCCGGGCATCCTCATGGCCCCGACGTGACCGACACTCATGGGGCTCACGGTCGGATTCAACTGAGGAGCAGGGAAGCCCCCTCTGGATGTCATCTTCAGGGTCCAAGACTGGTTAAATAGTTACTGAAACTCCAGTTTCTGGTGTGTAAACAGGAGCACGGAAGGCTGGAAAAATGGGCGCAAAAAGTGAGAAACCTACTTTAGGGCTTCCGCCTTTCGGAGTCTGAGCTGCGGCGACTTTGACAGCAAACACGCTGTCAACGAGAAGCTAACCGCTGTTAGCTCGTTTCCGACCGTTTCAAGTTCCGGGGTTTTTAAACCTCGCCTTTACTGCAGCTTTACTCCCTCCCCCCTCCCACACACTCTCTCTCACACACACACACACACACACAAAATCACCAAGTTCCCCTCCTCCAGGACATGACCAACTCACACCTACTTTCCTTCCTCACCAGAGGCTTCAGTTAGTGTCTAACAGCTCCTCACTTCACACTAGTTCAGAGACCTAAAGCCAAAGCAGCAGCAGCTCTGCCAGGAGCTCTGCCCACACCAAACACTAGTGGTGCCTTCAAATACCATCGGAATTAGGAAAAATTCCTACTTTCTCCCCACTGCTGATTTTTTTTCCCCAAGTAGAAATAAAAGTTTTAACAATAAAAGGTGGTTCCACAATAAAAGGGAGAGATGTTTAACTGGAAATAATACTGCATATAGTTTTTGTGCTCCTAAGCTTTATGCATAAAGTGCTGTAGTAGATTATGGAGGACCAATCCTGCCATAATTAAAAATAAAAGCTTAAAGAAGTAATGAATAAATAGTTGAAAAAGTTAAAAAAATATAACAGACAATAATTAAATAAGGTATATATATATATATATATATATATATATATATATATATATATATATATATATTTATTTATTTATGTCTCGCTGTATAATTTAATTTCTATCTACATTTATTTGTTTATTGTATTTTTTGGGGGGGATTAATTGTATGCTTAATTATTTTTGGAGCATTTATTTATTTCTGTATTTATTTTTAATTATGGTAGCATTGATCCTCCATAGGGTGTTGGTTAGAGTTTTACAATTTTCTATAATCGACTTGAAACCACCTTTCGCTAGGAGTTCCATCTGTCTTTTAGGGTCTGCTACTAACAGCTTTAAACAAGCTGACGGATTGCATTGAGAGCATCAATAAAAATACATTTTACAAATCTGACAAACTGTGACCCAGGGATGTCAATCTGAAGTGCTCAGGGGCTAGTATCATGCAACTTTTACATACGTCTGTGGTTAAACATACTTGAATCAAATGGCTTAATTAAAGCCAAAATGAAGCTCTGCAAAGTCCTGCTATGGACCATATAATTGAGGGTATCCTGAAGCAGACATCTTAAAGTTTCAGGACACCTGTCCTCGAGGACTGGAGGTCTGACATACGTGGACTAAACCTTAATAGAAACCATAAATGCTTTGCTCTAAACAATTATATCAAAGCTCTGACTGTATGTTTGGGGTTATCATCTAATTGGAAGTCTGTTTTCTCAGTCTAGGGTCTTTTGAAGAACAGGTTTGATTCAAGTATTTCCCTGCATGTAGTTTCAGTTCAGAACATAACCCCTCTTTAAACCAAGTATAGAATTGCAAAAAAGATGAAGAGGATGAGGTTTAGGCTCAAAACACAAGCAGAATCTTTTATCTATTTTTGAAAAACTACAGAATCTTCTTGCATTTATTAAACAGCCACGAAGGAGTGAGATGTCTCAAAACAAAACCAGACTGAATTGGTGATTAGTGTAGCTCTTGTGATCAGGGATGCCCCCTACTGGTCACTACGTTCTAGTTAAACAATTACAGAGCCATCTGACAGGTTACAAATCATTTATTATGCTAGACAGATGAAAACAAACTGAGCCATGACAGCAGCAATAGGACTATTAGAATATTTACACTATCACATCACACCAAGGACATATGTGACCCTTTACAATGTAAACATAATACAGAGACATATTTGAATGCTAAAAAAACAAGCAGAGTCTATCCACTAAAAGACAAACCAAAAGAAACCTGCTTCCTGAGGGCAACCTGCCTGCTTCCAAAATTAGATGTTCATTTACTGGACATTTCTAAACCATTTTCCTCAGGTGAGCAAAAACAGAGCTGCTCACATTGTGAACTGAAAATCTACAACCCCTGATGAAGAATGGGAAAACAAAAGACAAACCATTTTCAATGATTGTCTTTGACACCAACTCTTAAATAATCAAATTTTCTTAAAAAAAACAAAAGAGATTTCAGCTCACCTATAGCCTGATCTTTTCTTTCTTAAAAAAAAAACAATGTGTGCAGATATTTGCACTAAATACAACTGTCTGCACTCAGCCAATGAATCGTTCCTTGATTCTTAAGGTGTGCAGAGAAATTATACACGATACTCACTATAAAAAAAAAAAAAAAGGGAAAACATTGTTTGGTTCAATGATTCTGTGATTAAAACTAAAACAGATCCATTAAGAACAATTTGAGAGTTCAGGATTGCTCCTGCAGAGCAGCAAACACCACAAATGTCACCGATAAGCTCAATGTCAGCTGGCTCGACTTTAGGAACCGAAGCTGAGGCGCTCCTCCTTTCCCTTGTTTTCTCTGCCTGTGCGCGTTCATCTACACAGTTCAAGGTGTGTTTGCGGCCAAGTGCATTACTGTGAGAAAGCCTCGTCTTTCATCAGCATGCGGGGACTCTCCTGGTTCTCTATACGACGTCTAGGACCCATCATGCCTGTGCAGAAATAAAAAGCAGGAAGTCACTCATTTGTTTCTAGCATATGAAAACAAGTATTGTCATTAAAGATATGACTAATTATGCATCATAATTCAATTTCTAATTATTGCTAGAGGGAAATCTGAAAACTAAATAACTGTATAGGATAAATGCAACAGTTGGTAAATTAGCAAAAAAGAAAATTAAACGATTTAAACAAATCTAAGGGTAAACTAAAAATCACATCAGAGGCTACATTTTTATGGAAGCCCATTTCCGCCACATGAAAATCAAAAAATGCCAAATAGAAAGTCATAATTACGGGACACAAAATCATAATTATGAGTTAGTCATAATTACGACTTTCAAAGTCATAATTATGAGTTACAAAGTCATTACAAAGTCATAATTTCAAGTCCTAATTATGAGATGCAGTCATAATTACGACTGTCAAAGTCATAATTATGACTTTGAAAGCCATAATTATGAGATACAAAGTCATAATTTTGAGTTTCAAAGCATTAATTATAAGATACATAAGTTTGAATGCCAAATATCTCATAATTATGAATTTGAGATTCGAAATTGTGACTTTGAATCAGAGATGGGGGATCTGGAGTCATCAAGTCATCTCTATGTCATGTATTTGTTCTGACCAGGTGAGTCCAATCTGCACAGGTTAAACTAGATTGGACTCACCTGGTTCAGTAGCTGGGAAGAACAAATACATGACAAAGAGATGACTTGTTGACTCCAGATCCCCCATCTCAGCTTTGAATCTCATAGTTATGACTTTCTAATTAGCATTTTTTAAACTTTCATGTGGCAGAAACAGGCCTGCATACATTTTTGTAGAATTTAACATGGTAACGTTTTACACTTTTTAGAGGGAAGAAGATTATTTTGGTGCAGAAACCAGAGAAACAAAGTCCCCTACAAGTATCCATTTTCAGTGATTAATATAAGTTTTAATAAGGTGCCCTATTGGCACCACTGGTAAATATTTATGTAAAGGCATCCATTTTTAACCCTAGTTGCAAAAATATTAGTTTTTAGGAAAAAATTGATTAAAGAAATACGATTTTTCATTTTAAAACTTGCAATGATTGTCCCTGTGCCTAACAGTAAGCATGACGCCATTTCTTACACATTTATCCTTCAATTCAAACTCAGTGTTTGTTGCTGAGAAGCTCAGCCTAATCTGACCATAACCCTTAGTTCCAATTAAAGGTCCTCCAGGATTTAACTGATTATTTACATTTGTGATGGAAGGTCTGAATACATTTGATTTCCTGATAAAAGATTCCATATAAGCCTGTAGTCTCTAATGGTTGTTATGGAGACTTGGAGCCACTAAGATGCAGAAGTTCTCTGATGAGAAGCTTTGGAAACTTTTTCCCTCCCTTATCTTCCTTGGTAGCAAAACAAACCTTCAACTTCTTTTCAGCCCTTCTCATTTTTAGAGTGGTTAAATGGAACAGTATACCCTAAAAAAATAGATATTTATGGATTACAAAGTAAAAACTCTTCTATACTGATTTCAGAAATATTTATAGTTGTGCTTCTGCTATAAAAAGACATTTCACCCATTTTTGGCTGGGTTGTCATTATGATTAGAGGATGTGGCATAAATTGGACTAAATATATTTAAAACTAATAAAATCTAAGCAAAACAGAGAACTTTAAAACGTAATTCTACACATACAGATACAGTCCACATTAAGATTTTAACTGCTTCCTCCATTCTACTTACAATGCAAACTGTTGCACAATAAGCAGCTCTGTGTATCAACCAAAATAAAAACAAATGCTGTTTATCAGCTGCAAACCCATATTAAAGATTACCCCCTGTCCCTACCCACAGGCCTTGAAGAGGCAATGTACGAGTCTTTGGGCGTTGCATGAGCTTCATTGTCTTGATTGGTCTTACTTGCTGTACCTGTGAAACAGTTGGATAAAAGGCAGAGCTTGTGAAGCTAGTTGAGAATTACAAAGCTCATCAGGGCTTCTGTACATGTTCGAGCTCAAAGTCATTTTAGACTTTTCTAGAACCCTTTGTAGGCTAACTTTAAAAGGTATAATGGAGGATTTTCATTAATTTTTGAAAAAACCGTCCCTCTCCACTTAAAAAAAAAAAACACACATACACAACCCTGTACCTGCTCGAGAGAGGGAACACCTTATTAAGCATGTGTGCATGCATAAGCCCATTTCTCCTAGTGCACGCTCTGTTTATAAGTTGCTGTTTGCATCGCTCATACAAGCTTACTTCGAAAAGAGGATTTGCAATTTTCCGCCATGTCAGACTCACCACCGTGTTATGCCGAGAAATACCTCCCCTCTCGCACGCTGATGAGAAAAGGGATTGAAATACGTATGAAAAGGGAACTTTTCATATTTTTTCATACTTCTTATGCATGGGTGCCCTAAAATTGAGAGTTTTGGTAGACAGATAAATGCCAAGGAATACCTCCCCTGTCGCAGGAGCATGCATCGCCCTAAACTCTTGCATATTGTTGGGAAAAAAGATTGAAATATGGGGGAAATTTTAAACATATTCTTATTGATTTGTCAGAAATTATATGGAATGGTGTTGATAGAAAAAGCAGAAATTGCTATCCACTGAGCAGAGAACATATTCATTGGACACTGACTGTAGCTCATCGACTAAAACGTGTCTCTATACAAGTAAAAATCATATTCATTCAAATTTATCTGTCCACCAAAACTATACATTTTAGGGCATCCATGAATAAGAAATATGAAAACATTAAGAATATGTTTAAAAGCTCTCTTTTCATTCATATTTCAATTTGTTTCAGTCCTTCAGTGTGAGAGAGGGGACGTAATTCTGGGCAGCCAGGTATTTCTCGGCATAGGGTTAGGTGAAAATGGGGACGAGCACGTAGGACGGCCTTACGTGAACATATCACCAGAATGATTGACAATTAAGAGGACCACTTATTTAGATGATCCACCCGGAAAATGAACATCCTCCAATATACCTTTAAGATATAAGGCTAAGTGCAGATAGTTCTGCAAGGGTTAGGGATTTAAAAAGGGAAACTACAAACATTACTGAAGCAGCGGGGAGATAGATGGACAGACTGAGAAATGCATGGATGGATGTCTGGACAAATGGATCAATAATTGGAAGCCTAGATAAATGGGTAATGGATAGACAGGCAAACAAACAGATAAATGGGAAGATTGAGAAATACGACTTTGAGAGATTGCGATGGAAATAAAATCTAAGAATACAAATAATACTGAAACAATTATGCAATTTTCTTTCTTATCCACATCAGAAAGGCACATCACACATTTTCCCTGTAATGTAGCTCTGTCCTTTATGTTACATTTCATCTTATGCTATAATATAAACAACCCTCTTTCTTTGTCTTAAAATGATATTTCGAATTTATTTCATGACAGGTGTAAAAATCTGTAGAAAATTCGCCATTTTCAAGTATCTTTTATATTGTGTAAATTCTAAAACATTCCATGAAAACTGTATTTTCTTACTTCAGAATATGACAAGATAAAAAAAAAAAAAACACCAGCACACGCTAAACATGCAGACAGACACCATTTAAAGAACTTTTGTCATTCCAGTACTTTTCTAATTGATATTGATTGATATATTCCTGAAAAATGTCAAGAGTTTGGGGTTGTTCACAATTTTTATCTTTTTCACAAGTGTATAAAACCCAGACTTGGTCAGGGTCAAACTGGTATACTACTTTTAATTAAAAACCTTTTAGTATGAAGGTAATTTTGAATCAAATATTTGTCTATTGTAATTGTGAATTTGAAGTTTTTAAGAGAAATACAATAGAAGTTTTGTAACCGTATATTTTTATCTAACTTTTACAATTACAAAAATAGTAGTAGATGTTTACTTACTGCTTTTATGCTTAAATGATTTGGATCTTCTTGGTGAATTTGGATTCTGAGGATAAAAAAGAAACAAAGAAAAGTGATTATATTTAGTCCAGATGGAAATTTCTTAATTTATTCATATTTTCCATAACAAACAAAACAAAAAAAAACATATTTATGCAGGGGGAAAATAAAAGCACCTTGTCTGACTTTCTTTTCTTTGCTGTAAAAGAAAAACAAGCAAACATAAGAACAAAAACAAAAAAACAAAACAAAAAAAAACAAGATTTGCAAGATTAAACTTGTGTGGAACATCAAGATGCTCTAGCACATCACCTTTCTTTTCTGCTCCGTAGGACCAGTCGTTATCATTGACATCGTCATTATCTTCTTGGTCACTCTCTGATTTGTTATTGGTGTTGTTACCAGTAACTATTCTGTGAAACAGTGAGAGACGAAACAAGCAACGACTTGAAGTGAATAACAGCTTAAAACAAAACACAATTCATTGTAAAACGATGTCATAGTTTTACTGCTAAAATAAATTATTGTTGAATGTACAGCTCAAAGTGAATCTCTCTGGATACACAGTGGGGTAACTTACTAAGCCTTTTAATGATTTTAATATCAACAACCAAGACAATGCTAATTTGAGTTTCCCGTTTTCTCAACAGACCTGCGATTTGCTATGCGGCTGCTGTTGCGTCCCATCCCGAGACATTTCTCCAGGTGTGGGGCGAAGCGGGAGGCAGCGATGCTCCGGCTGCAGTTGGGACAAACGCACTCCTTGTTTTTCCACTGGTTGTACACTTGGCCAAACACATCCAGGCCAGGCTGGTCCACAATTTCTGAAATAGGTACAAATCAAGCACTTTGAATAAATCTGCAACAAAATCTCACCTTGAAGATTTTAGGAAAAAAGCTCCTTATAATGTAGGAATATTTATGTGTTGTGTGTTTCCTGGCCTCATCAACTATAAATACATCCATCTTACTTTAGTGTTATCCTGTATGCAATTATTTTCTAACCTGAATCCTTTTTCAGCCATGGTTTTAATTGTTCCAGCTGTTTAATAATTACTCTGACTTCAGAAAAGTTAGAGATAGTTTTGATTGATTAATAATCAAGTAGCAAATGTGTTCTGGATAGAGGATATTGACAGATGAAAAAGCTTTTTTTTTTTTCAATGCAAAATGTTTATATGATTTTTCTTTTCAACAATTTTTGTATAACTGCTGCTCAAGGGTTCGTTGATCTGTCACCTAAAAGCATAGTTTATAGTCTCTCAACTGCAGTTAAAGGTATTGCAAAGAATTTTCGCAAACTTTAAAAAAATGCACAACTCTGTACCCGCTAAAGAGAGGGAACGAGAACTCTATGTGCAAAGCCTTCCGGGATATATCTGCCTATTTTGATGCCATTCTTTTCTTCTCATACACTTCGTAGACACTTTTTCTCTTATGACCCTCAGCCATTTTTTAAAGAATCATGCTGAGAAAGGTGAGCTTCAATGACTGTCTGAAACTGTAGCTCACCACAGATATACACCTGAAAATGCACATGGGCAGAAAAAGATGGCTAACGGGACGAGCATGTAGGAAGTCCTTACGTAAACATATCACCAGAATGATTGAAAATCAGGAGGACGACTTATTTAGATGATCCACCTGGAAATAAAAGATTGTCCTCTATACCTTTAACAATTACTAAATTAGTTGACGATTATTTCAAATATTGAATTAGTCCGATTAATTGTTTCAGCCCTAGTTAATATTTTACTTTAATGTTTGTTTTGACAATCTCCTATATTCAGATTATTTCCCTTTAAGAAAGGGAAAACAATTTATTTATTTATTTTTTTTTCAAATAAGGGAAAATAGATTATTCTTACCAAAGTCCCTCATGCTTTCTTGGTCCGTGTCATCCAGGAAGAAATAGCCCTGTTTCACAGCCCGGTGGACCTCAAAGCAAAGACCCAGGCATGCATCCTCCACCAGGTCAGACAGGATGTCCTGAGCCAGGGCCTGCCAGGGAGGACATGCGTTTCTATTCATAAGGAACTCTGCAATTTGTCCGTCGAGTTTTATTGTGATGTGAAAAGTATTTACCCCATACTAATTTACTTGTTTTTTTCTAATCTCACACGTTTGAGATATAACCAGAAATAAATTATTAAAATTATTGCAAAAACATTTTACTTTTTTTTTTTTATAAAAAGGAGGAAAACTTTACAAACTTTATGTGCTCCGTCTTTCGTATTGTTAATCCATTGTTAGCCCTAAGGATTAGCAATCTGTGGAGCTTTAGATGTTCTGAGCACTGGTGACCTCCTAGATGAGCTGTCAAATTGCTGTTTGAGTAACTTTAGTAGGTATTGCACTCCTTGAACCGTTTTCCAAATGCATTCATTTGTGAAGAATGGCTTGCTGGTGTATCAAAGCCTTAGAAATGGCTTTGTTATCCCTTCCTGACAGATGTTGATGGAGTCATATTTCCTTCAGGACAAATTTATTTAGACTGGGTCATGATTCGTTGCTTTTGGAGATTATTTATAGATTATGTTTTTAAAATATCTTGATGCTATATTATCAACCACTATTCCTGGTTGTACATTTAAACAAAAATGTTTGTTTTTCCACTCTTAATTTATGACAAACTATGGGAAATCCTACATTTCAATAAGTTGGTTGGATACATTTGAATTGAAATGAGTGAAATTTTTTTGCTTCCATTTGCGATATTACAAGATTTTGGATGAGCTGATCCATTCAGGGGTGGAGCTAGATGGGGGCCAGGGGTGGCAATGGCCATCATTTGCCACCCCTGTGGTCACCCCTACCATTTTTTCCCTCTAATACAGATGGTGGCAGCAGTAATACACTCAAGTGGAATATTCAAAACATTACAATTTTGTGTGGTTAATTATACACATCAATATATTAACATCAAATATGATAAATACAGAATTCATGCTCTTTTCAGAACTAGATTTTGTGTTATATTGGGTAAAGAGAAAATGTGTCTCTGTAAGTCATTTGGGAGTCTTCAGTGAAATCATAGATAAATAACAATTTTAATAAAAAAGTTATTAAATCATCAATTTATGTAGATATTAGTGCTTGTAAATATCAATTTAATAAAGAATGTTTATTTATACAAAGTAGGGAATTAATGACGACGGAAAAGAATTACGCCCCAGATCTCAAAACTGAAAGAATTTTATCTACTATACCTTTTATTTAGAAAGCACCAGTGACGTGCGGTCAGGGGAGGCAGGTGAGGCAGTGCCTCACCAGCCATCATGGAAAGAAAGAAAATATATAATCATAAAGTAATTTAAATTGTTATATTCATCCGGTGGTTTGTACTAAAAAATATTCATTTTTCACGTAGCTTCACCAATTTCGATTTTTATTTGTTCAAAATCGCTGAATTTTCTTATTTTCCCATTCAAATGCTTGGAAGCGATGCCGGTGAGGCAGCAGCGAGCTCTGCCTCACCTTGGATTGCGCAACCCCTGGCTCTGCGCTGGCTGCAAAGCGGAGAGAGCATGTTGCTGTACGGCGTCAATAAAATGGTTTAAACAAATGTAATATGTGAACTTATTTCTAATAATTTGGCTTATGTATATAATGTACAGAGCTTTTTGTCACCAACTGTGTTTGTGTAACGTGTTTCGTGTAATGAGCGATTATAAACGGCAGAGAACAAGTTCGAGGTGAGGCAGGCAGTTCTCTTGCCTCATGGCAGGGGGTGCTCAAGAGACTGAAAACATAAGGCAGGAACAGGACGGATCAAGGAAGGCTTTCTTCCCTGGCAGTGATCTCCATTGAGACAGAGAGACTTTTAAAACTGAAGGAAGATAAGGAGGACTTCTATTCATTTATAAGTAAAGGTAAGACAGTAATAACATTTATTTTGTTTTGTTTTTTAAGGAAATGTGTGTTTTGTGAGCTACAGTTTGTATGTGTAAGGATGCAGAAGTGAAACATAACCTGTAAACTGCTGTCAATCTATGCATCTATTTGCAAATCTGATTCTGATGACGTCAGTGCCTCACCAGCTATGAACCTCACCGCACGTCACTGGAAAGCACAAATGTTTAAATATATGCGTTTACTTCTTAGCAAAGGCTGTACGAAAGTAAATTTTGTCTTTATTTAGAAAATATGGATGTTTTGCTCGTTAATTTTCCTGTTAGAACAGTGGAGATCAGAGGTCACGGATTAGCGGACTGCAGTCCTGATCCGGACCCACCTGCTGGCTAATCTGGACCCAACCTGATTTAAAACATTTAGCACACGTTGTCTGACAACAGTGTCTAAATGTCACTTGCGCAGCTTCTCCTGTTACCCCGAAATCCCACATCCTCTGTCTCCGCTCAGCCCCACAGCGCACCAGACCTCCTGCTAAACGCAAAGCCTACAGCCTCTGCTGTTCCTCCCGTATTGCTGAACCTGGCTTATCCTCTGAGCTCGAAGAGAGCATGTGCAATATCATCATTAAATTTGTAGGAGCAAAACATGCAGAAATGAACACTTAATTTAATATTTTAAAAATCCCAATCAGCATCCAGCATATGTGCGGTTTCTGATAGAGATGAGAAATCTGCTTCCTGGTCTGTTGAAGTACCAATAGTTTGCATCCAATCTTTTAAATAAACGTTGTTAGTTTTTTAAAAAATATATAAGAATTATGCTCTAATTTGTTGTTACTATATTTTAATTTGACAGCCCAGAACTTCTCGCTGTTTTTTTTCCTGTTTGGTGCGATTGTAATAGCGGATCTTGACCTGGCCGGACCGGAGCCGAGCCTGAACATTTAGAGTATGTTTGGCTCAACCTGCTGCTGTGAAGCAGGATTCTAAACCATGAACATAATCAATAATAAATATCAATCCAGGACCAGATTAGCACCTTGATATGTGCTTTAGAATGGCTTTGTCTCCATTCAAACCCAGGTTTAAAGCCTTGCAGGGCAGCCTGAAGCCCACTGCTCTCATTAAGCCAGAAAAAAGAAAGAAAAATAACAGTCAGTTCAGGTGTTTTATAAAATATGTGTATCAGGAAATTGTCTATATACCAAACTGAATGATTATTGCCCTCTACTTCAAAAAGCACTTTTGATTTTAAAATGGAAAAATGTTAGCCTGATAAACCACACTTAATGGGAGAAGAAAGGTGTTATTTAGTCTGGCCCCGATGAATGAAACATTGGAAGATTGTTGACGAGAACAACCCGTCATTTTTCAAACCGCTGTGTGTGCCTATTGGCCAACGCTCTGACCAATGAGCGTAACTGACTGTGACGTAGGAAGTGCGACAGGAAGCTGGTGGGGGAGTGTAAACACACAACCTGTCGGTAAAACGACGAATACGTCCTTCTTAAAAATGAGTGAGCATAGAGCGTCTTCCTGCTCACGTTTAATGAAAACACATCTCTGCGTTATGATTGGCCCGCCAGTTCTAGGGCCTGGGGCATTGATCGAGGCTAGACCAACATGCAGGCAAAAATGAATTTTGGCCGCTGGCGGGTGGGGCTAGTTTACTAGGCTAAAAAATGTTTCTTTTTTTTTTTTATTTAAAAAGTCAATGTATAAAATGGATGCATAAACACCTCGTTTTATTTCAATGATAAATTCTGTTTAAAGTAACAGATTATAATTAAAAATGTTTTCGGACCTTTAGTGGTAATGATTTTCTTTATTCAGACCACGCTGATTTTTATTTGGTTTAACCCCGCTTTCGGCCACCCCTCAGTGTACATTGGTTATTACCTGGCCACCCTTATAAAAAAAATGTTCTGGCTACGCCTCTGGATTCATTTAAATTCAAAGAAGAAAAAAAAGCAGGTAAATGTTTCTTTACAGCACTGTTATGTTTACAAATTGCAGCTTTTCCTACAAACTACCTCCAGCTTGCTGTTGTCCAGGCTGGACACCGAAAGCTCCTCCATTTTCATTTGCCAGATCCACCAGATGAGCAGACGTTGCTGTGGTCATGCTGTAGCGCAGCAAGCATTGGCCAAACCTGGACTGCAGCAGGAGAGAAGCACAGTTAGCAGCACAGACACCACAGTCTCTCACTGGGAATGGGATGCAGATACTCACCACTGAGCAGAGAGTCGCTGAACACACTCACAACCTGAGAACAAGCACACAAAACAAAACACGGGCTATCAGCAGAGTCCAAACACTGCGTTGCTTCAACCATTCAATGAAAGGAGCTTAGCTTGAACCTGGACGAAACAAAGAGCGGCTATGAACAGGCTGGAGGTGCCGACACTACCAGGAGATAAAAAGGAGGAGGACTGCGTCAACAGCTAATATGGCTACAAGGGAGGTGGGCAAAGATGCACAGCAGGGGGTCTTAAAAGCAGCGACACAAATATATATTTTTAATTGCTTCGCAGTTAAAGAAACATCCAACGGTAGCTAGGCAGCACGTCCCTGAACACAGCACTGCGGCTGCCCGCCGCCCTGTTTGCTCTAAAATAACCCGCCAGCGAAAATACTGCATTTATTTCCCAAAATAAAACCTTCTCCGCAGGGATTATCGCAACCACGTTCCCATGAAAAGCTTAATTAAGTTTATTTACCTATTTCGACAGGCATCCATCTTTACTGGAATCAAACAGAAGCAATCGATCTCTGCGCTAGTTCCACCAATTCCCTCCTGTGCCGCACTGATTATCTTGCTGCCTTCATGCCGTTTTTTCTCCCCCCCACCACCGAATAACATAAATATAAAATACATGGGTGTTTATTTTTTCATGTACATGATTAAAATTCTACTTGAACAGCCTAATTGAAGACATGTATGTTCAAATATGCACTAATATTCAACAATATCAGACAGAAGCAATGGATCGCCAGTCTCATCGATGCGTCCCTTGTAATTATCACAGCACAGTCATCCTGTTCATAATATTTAGTTTGTCTTTTTTAGAGAATGTGGATTTTTCGGCCACCCCTAAGTGTACATTGGTTAATGCCTGGCCACCCTTATAAAAAAATTTTGACTACGCCTCTGAATTTAATAATTTGATAAATTTAAAATTGTGTCATGATAACCTTTAAAGTATACCAAAAAAAATATAATTTTACTGGTTTTGAGCCTTTTTTACATTGGAAACAAAAAGTTTTATAAAACCTTACAATTAGCATATTAAAATGTGATAGAGCATTTCTACACTTATAATACGATAGTTATGTTGCACATATAAAGCACAATCACCACGTGATTTTAAGGCAAATATAAGCTCAGATGGTTTTATGCATAATTAAATCAGACTATGGATTCAACTAGATATTTGTATTAAGTTGTACTTCATTGTTCAAAATGCCGAAGGTTCTCAGTCATCCATGTCATAGTCATTCCAAAAAAAATAAAAACAATCCACTGGACTTTGTTTCCAAGTTTGAAGACATTTCGCTTCCAATTCAGGAAGTTTTTACCAATTCCTGACATTTTGAATTGAAAAAGCTTCCTGGGTGGGAATCAAACTTGCAAACAAAGTCCAGTGGATTGTTTTTTAACTTTTTTGGAATATTGTTCAAAATGTTTGTAATACATCCACAACATTCAACTTTCTGTACAACAGACAGCTTAGGCTTCATGGGAAAAATTTTTGTTTTTAAGGCATGTACCAGAGACAGAGATTAAACAGAAATTAAGCCTCAGAGTTTTCTTTGCTTCTCTTTTCCTCATTTGCTTATACTCCATATGCTTGTATAATTAAAGAAAAACAATAATTTAGCATAATTTAAACTCCACAAGCCAAATTAGTATTGCAGCCGGACATGTGCTTTCCTTCCTGAGCAGTGTCCCAACCTTGTGATGATTACTTCTAGCTGGTAAAGCACAGTTTGAAGAGGAGAAGTTGTCAGGAACAATAATCTTTTCTCCAACGTTTTACCTGAAACCTGAGGATGTCCTAAAATGTACAAAACACTCAAACTCACCGGATCTCAAACCAGTGGGGAACCAAAAAAATATTTTCACCACAAACATTTATGACGCCCTTGCAGACACACTCACAAAAAATAAACAAATTGAACCATTTCTTTCAAAAGATTAAGTATTCTAAATGCTGGTGCAGAAATAATACAGTGAGGCACACAATAAAACGGTTTTGAATGAGGAAGTTATTACACATAAATGACAGTATTGTAAAATAAGATAAATGAAAATACGAAAGTGTAGGAAAAAATTATTAGACTGGATTGTAGTGTTATTTAAATATTAAAACATTTTATGCAGAAACATTAAGATTAAATGTTCTCATAGGAAAATAGTTTAGATCAACTTTAAAAGTTTTAGATACACGTCTGACATATTCTTGATGTGGTCATGTACCATTTCTTTCCCAAATGGCATATTTGTCCCAAAGGTGTGTACAGCCATACCATATGAGGCACAGTTTTCTTTTTTATTTTATTTAAACTTTATTTTACCAGGAAGTCCCTTGAGATAAAATCTTTTTCGAGGGAGACCTGGCTGATCAAGAAGTTTATGCTATGCAGTTTGCTTTCTGTATAATCTGTTAAAAATATACATTTGTACATATATAGAGATCTGCAGATTAACAGATGTTAATGACCATTTGTCGAGGTCCTTTTCCTGCTCTAGAAAAGTTTTCTATTATCATGCTTATCACTGTTTTTCCATCTTACTTTAAAGAGGCCACTTCTTTTTACTCTAAATGTGCATTATTTTCATTTATAACTACACAGTATCCTGAGATCTGATAATCTTCTGCGGTTCAACTTTAAAATAGTCTTTAATTTCATTGGATCTTGTGCGAACTGTAAAATTTCTCCACTCTACAATTTCTTTGCCACTGTCATACCTGGATTTCACCTCTTTATGACAATAAGGGTATATATATATATATATATATATATATATATATATATATATATATATATATAATAATAATAATACACACACACACAACCCAGTATCTTTAGGGTATTTTTATTCATTCATTCATTCATTCATGTCCCATTCTATTAAAACATTCAAATGCCTTCATGTGATTTTTTTATTTATCACATCCATTAAAATAGCAATTCTTCTTTTTTGACAGTCTCAAAAACCTATTATAAAACATTAGTTGTTCAGTTGAAAGAATTTAAACCAAGAGAGTTCCATAAAATGAAAAATAACATTCTAATTTTCCTCTTTGACAGCAGATATTTTGACAGACAATTTGAATGCAGCTTTAAGTCAGAGCAATATGGATACAGTCAGGAACAGCCTTAAGCTCTAAAACATACTTCTAATGTAGGTATGATAATTGTTGGCTAAGTTCATAGCGTAAGTCTTCACAAGTAAACGTGTCTTGTAGCGAACACCCGACCCCAGAAAAGAGAATAATGTGGCTTTATTCAGCCTTCTAGTTGCATTTCTTTATCCTATGAAATTTAGCTGATGATGCGTCTGAAAACCTAAGCTTTCCTTTTAACTCTATTCCAGTGTTTGTTGTTGATCAGCTCTGTTAGCATAACATCTCAAACATCTCGCCATCCTCCTCCTATGAAAGGGAAAGGCATAATTAGCATACTGGTGCAAACATCACTGATCATACAGACCTTTCATACGAGCAGCCCCACTAATGATGTATATAATACATTTGAATAAAGTCATATTTTAGGATGTTAGCCTAATTTCAAGGAGAAACACTCAACATTCTGGCCTTTGATCTAAGCATCATAAGTGGGGGTGTAAAAAATGTTAAAAAACAGAATCCACATTGGTATCAATTGGCGGCAATTCTTATAAAACATATTCAATTTGTAATTTATACTTTGGATGAACAGCTAAGCATGTAATCTTAGGATCAACAAGTTATTTAATTCCAAAATCCCTAAAAACTGACACAAAGGCAATGGGAAAGCTGTCTTTAGGAGCTGAGGGATCTCTGAATGATGGGGTGAGATTCGGCAAAGAGCAATCGTTAGTGATCCCCCACTCTGTGCACCTCAACTTTGTAAAGTGGAAAAATACAGTGTAAAAATGAAAATAAAATAAATGTAAGTAAATGAAATTTGACAGATTGAAATTATGCAGCTGTAATAAAAGATCAAATAAGCTGTGGAAAAAAAACACCAGCTGGTTCCACGTAGTTGGGACTTGTTAGTGAAATAGTTTATCTACTAATTTATGTTAGGAACCATCAGCTTTACCTCACAATAGCTCCAAATATCTTCTTCATTTTCAATGCTGACATCACGCATGACTTCATCCTCTGAGTCCTTTGTACCAAAAAAATAAAGAAAACAAAATTACGAGTCGATTTGGGAAATTTTCTTTATTAAACACCTCTCAAAATGTCCCCATCAGCATAAAAACTCTATTTACATCCCAACTTACTGAAGGTTGAGACTGAAGTAGCTCCTCCCTGTCATACACCCTTTTTTTCTGGGCATCAAGGAATTTCCGTTTCTGCAACACCAGATTTAAAATGTATTCCCAAAAAAATGAAGTTCAGAAGCCTTAGAATCAGGAATTGTGAAACACTTACTCTGGGGGTTTGTTCTAAATATTCAGCTTGCTGTTCTGGGGTCAGCGTCTGCACAGAGATGGAAAAATGGTCAATCTACTTCCCAGAACATTTTAGAAACCCAGCGTGAAGACGGACATTTTCTAAATACCTTGAACCACTTTTTCAGGTCATTTGAGTATTTTTCCATGTTTGCTTGAATCTGTCCTTTGTAACGTTCCTTCTCCCTTATAGGGAGCTTCTGCCACAGTTTCTTAACTTTAACCATACGATCTGCGTAGTTGGAAATTGTCTCCTTCAAAATCTTCATCTGATCTTTGACAAAATACACATACACAGACCTAAAAATATAGAAAAAAAAAAAAAATTACTTAAACTGAATCTTTTAAGGAATATTTATGATAATTAGCTTTTTACTTACTGGCTTGGCATCTTGGGCTCGCCTGGCAACGCCCTCTACACAGAAATGACAAAGGAGACTTTAGGACTGAGTAACGTTGGATAAAAAAAAATGCAGAATAGCAACCGGCAGAGTCTCTTCCAAAGTACTCATACCCCTCTAACTTTTTATTTATTTATTGTACTTTGAAGATTACAGTTTACAGATTGTTTACAATATGAACAACTGCCAACAGGTAAAACGTCACCCTGAAAGTCATCTCAGCTCAAAAGACAACTTTAAAAAACAATATCCATATGCAGAGAAGTGACACATTTCTTCATTTTGTTAACAAAGGAAACCTTTAAATCATTATCTTACCAAAGACTTCTGTAACTTCATTCCTCTTTTGATGATCCGCTCGCTCTCCATCGCATCAAACCTCTAAGGACACAAACAAAAAGTCACACAAAGGCTGTGCACTAGTGTCTACGGCATTTTAAATGAGTGGATAAAAAAGTAGTGGGCTCGAAATTTCCCACATTGGTGGTCACTAGACGAGCAGAGTCGTTACACGTCAGAGGTGACAAATAAAGATGGAGCGGGCACCATATGGGGAGGCAGATTTATGTGACCAACAGGGAGCGAAAAGTAGTGACCAGCTGTTCGAACGGTCAGTTAACCGAGTTCACTATAAAGTCCACTATATAGTCCCTGATCTATATAGTGATTGAGGGGTTTAGGGGACAGGCGGACGTTCTGACTCAGCCAAACTCTCTGCCAACAACTCAAGAAAAGTCTCTTAACTTACCTCCAGATGTTCCATCAGCTTGT